TGAGGAGTACTAGTGAAATTGTTTCTTCTTATCCTGTGTGCCTTTCAAATATGTTCAAAGAATGGGAAGCCATGTTGCATAATTACAAACTCACGTGACATTGAATATATGGCATTGAATGTAGACCCTTTTTATTTAGCCCAGGGCTTTTAAGTTTCTTTAATCCGGCCTTCTCCAACTTGGTGTTCTCCAAATGTGTTGGCTTACAACTCAGAGAACATCTTTTATCAGGTTCCTTAGAGCTGAGTTCTGGTCAACACCAAGTTGGGGAAGGTTGCTTTAATCAATCTTAATAAAGTTAACATTTCATCCACTACTTTTATCTGAAGTTTATGCATATTGGATTCATATTTTCTTTTACTTGCCTTGAAATACGAAAGGCAATATATAAATGTTTGAAATACAATAAATTATTAAGGTTGTATACCTATACATTAATCACCGCTTTTGACTAAACACCAGTGTTATGCTCCTTGCAAACAGCAGCTCATGTACTCATGCTAAAAGCTGCTGCTGTTTCTCTGCCTCACACAACCTTATTGCTGATGCATCTTGTTGAAGAAAAGGTTGTCTCATTATAGTTGGTTGAAGTTCAGTTAATATGACCATAAACAGAGATAGCTTACTGATGCTATGCATCTGAAGAAAGGCTTACACAAGCTCTTCCTTTTCAAATCTGTTATACAATTGCTTTTAATTCTAGAAGAATTCATTACTAACTCTGATCTCTTTTTATTATTACAGGGAATTGAAACCTGGTGAAGAAGCATGGAAATAATGTATCAAATGAGAAATGCTTCCATATAATAAAATTTGCTAGTATCATAATGTAACAAACATCTTTTGTCATTCCCCTTGTTTCAGTATTTGATCTCTGAACAAATATTTAGGTATATTCCAACCAAAGTCAGTATCCCAATATAAGAGACTGCCACTGCCCCATCAACGTGCTCCAGCCCTTCAGTCAGCTTCAGAGGCCTATTCTCAGGCCCGTCTCTTAGCCAAATAACTTTAGCAGATAGCAGTGACAGGGCCTTTTTGGAGCATCTGCAAATGTAGAATTCCATCTGTAGGGCGATCTGATAGCATTATTTTCTTCTGGTATTTAAATAAAAGCATCTTGACCACCATCTTGACTACCGTTTTCTGAACTTTAAAATAATGTTTGGCCTTATTTTTCTAATACCACACTTTAGTAATCACTTTTTAGTGACCATAGTTTGTATTAACAACTTTTATTAGTCTAACAGAGACAAATATTTATTCAGAAGTATCTCTTATTGTGTTCAATTATGCTTACAAACTAAATTAAGGCATCTTGATTTTTTTATTCTTGCCAACTTTGATTCATTCCACAGTTAACAAAAGCAATAATAATAAATGCTCAAAATCTTGATGCAAGGATAGAGAAAGGAGGTGAAATGATTGCTTATGTTGGTGTCAGGAAGAGGAATTATAGGTGGTTCTCATTGGACAAATGTTTCTCTGAAAGCACTTCAGTTATCAAGAGAGTTCATGGTAGTCCTAGCAGAATACTACATATTTGCAGATAGATAAGGAATATAAATGTCCTTTTGTGCAGAAGAAAACTTACACTACTACATTATTAACTACCTTGTTCTAGGTTCTTTGACTGGAAGAAGATTTCAAATGCAAGGCATGTAGTCCAGTGGTAGATACATACCTTTGCAACATGATGAGACTTCTAGGACTAGGTTAATCAGGACTAAAACCTCATTCCAAAAAAGAGAAATCCACACTATAGCAGTGATGGATTCTAATCTGTCTCTGCTTCTTGAGTAATTCAGAGAGAATTTGCTGAGTAGTTGCTGCAGTCTCCAGTGTGTCACTATCATCCATTTCTTCCCATATTCATAAGTGTTCAGCATACAGTTATTTAGGCTTCAGTGCCAGTGGTCACCATGATGCATTTCTAGAGAGTAAGAAATGATGGAAAGAAATCCAATGGAACAAGTGTGCATCTACACTGCATACTACAAAGGAGATCTGTATACTGCTGAAAACTGCTACATTTACTAGGGGTTGAAAATAAGTTCATTTCAGGGCTTGTTGCCTGGGCCTAGTCATGGGCCTAGCTCTTGGCCTTATTTTCCTCATCTCCTTAATGAGAATGTGAATGATAGGTTGTGGAATAGGATTGTTACAGTAAACTATAATCACTCTTCCAGTTACCTTTTAAAAAACTTGATCTGCTATATAAATCATAAACAGCAGTGTAAGATTTCAAATTCTTTAATCATTTTTATATTTGTGACTCTTTTTTGTTATTTCCAAGTGCTGCTGATGATAGGGTTCTGTGCATTGCTTTATTTTTCTCTCACCAACTTCTAACACTGGTCATGTTTTTCAAGAAACTACAGTCTCAAATAATTTTCTGAAGTAGAACTTCTTGACTGCACCATGGGTAGTGGAACAGAAGTATTTAAAATAGGAACAAATATAATAACTTCATGCAAAAAGAGTTAGAGGCTTTCTTTCACTGCAGTGCTGTTAAATACTGTTTGCTTATGCCTGCTGTTAAAAAATGTTTTCTTATGCCTCCAACAGATGTTTTTCCTATCATATTTTAGTTTTCTGGCAAAGGTATTTGTGCTTTTGAGGGAAATTTCAACATATGGAGACATAATGTGGAGACTGCATCTTTGAATTTCTACCTCTCGGCTAGGTTTTATAATCATGAGTAGAATCCTTTGGTTGGAAGCTTTGACAGATGAAACCTAGCTTCCCTCTTACAATCTTTCCATTAAGTACCATTGATGGCAAGCACATATTCAGCAATTGCAGCACTTTCCAACTTAAACACATTTGTGACAAAGTCTGTATCTGTTGAATTTCTGCCTATTATGGAACCTATTTGAAGACAAGTTCTCCAGTTGAATCCTGGCATATTCCTATAGAGCTTTGGTAAGCCCTTGCACAAAATCTATGCTTCAGTTCTGGTAAGGTACCTTTAATTACAGGTTATCCTGTACCTATTTATCGAGTATGAAGTGTGAGTGTAGTCAGTGCAACTAACTTGAATGAATAGGCATACATTTGTGATGTTCTAATGTTTCAAGGAAAAGGCCTTTTCTCTCCCCTAGTCTATCTGATAGGCCAGTTGCAATCTGACAAACTATGCTCTGTTTATTTATTCATTCGTTTATAACATTTCTATGCTGCACCCATCACCAAAGCCTCGGGGTGGCTCACAAGGAACACAAATAAAGCATAGAACAATATTAAAATTTGGAGTTTTCCGCGATAATATAAAACCATTAACTAAAACACAGATTAACAATTAAAATATTGTTTAAATAAAAAGGTCTTGGCCTGGTGCCGAAAAACAAATCATAACGGCGCCAGGCGGGCCTCTTTGGGGAGCGCGTTTCATAGGTGGGAATTCTAGAATTGAGAACAAATTGTTTTAATTCTAGGTGAAGGACACTAGTTAGGGAGGGGGAAAAGGAGCCCTGAGCATCCAAAAGCTTGTCCTCTGTATCTTATTTACTTACAGAACTGACTCAAGTGGCTTTTAGAGGCTGCCTGTTAATTTTGCTGTTTGCTACCTTCTGTACATCCATCACATTTAAGTGGCCACTTGTGGATCACCTGAAAAGAGATCAAATGAGATTAATTTGCTTAAAATGTGTACGTGCAATACAAACAGTAAATTACAATATAGTGCATACTATCTCTGTTCATTTGACCTAGGCTTTGCCCAGGCTGCTACCCGGCTTCTGATAAGTTACTTCAAGGCTCAGGTCGTTCTTCTGATACGTGTCGTCAAGTCTCCTTCGGCTTACGGAGATCCTACGAGTGAAAACCATCCCTTCTAATTTCAGGGCTATGGCTTCTTTCATGGAATCAACCCATCTATTATTTGGTCTTCTGTCCGCCTTCGACTTTCCCTAGTACGATTGTCTTCTCTAGTAAGTCTTTGGTTCTTTATATTTATCGGAATTGAACAGGACACGCGGCTATTCTACCTTTCCCGTTTCCATTTTATAAAAATCCCAGCGGCGCCACTCCAGTGTTCAACGATAATAGCAAAACTAATGGATTGAACATGGAGCAACTTTTTGAGGGATAGAATATGATTATTTCAAATCCACTGTGTTGAACAGGAAGTTCTGCTCTCCTACGGTGATTCCTATACAATTCTATCTTCACAGACCCATATATGGCGACATTTTAATCGGAACCGGAAATGCGGGTTGCATGGACTGGTTATGAGCATTCTTAAATATCTCTTTGCGGTATTTGTTGCGCTCATAGAAATAGGATGCACGCGCGGGCGGCTGGGTTGGGTCGAGGCTTAAAACAAAGCGATAGCTTCGTTGATTGGTTGCGCCGGGTCTCGCCGCGGAGCAGCGCTTGATTGGCTGAGTCGTGATCATGTGGCGTGCGGGCTGCTGGTGGCGGAGGTGAGAGACAAATAAACATGGAGGCCATTTTTCACGAGAGGGTAGGTGAGAGCTGTTGACTTCTCTGAATGGGGGCTCTTGAGGGGAGGCGGGAGGTATAAAGGGTGCGAAGGCAGAGGCTTAACCCGAGAAAGGAGGGCGGTGGGGGCGCGGCTTGCCCCGCTGTGGAGCGAGGGCGGACAGAGAGGCTTGAAAGGAAGAAGGGTGGGAAGCTTGCCGCGATGCTCCCTCCCTTCTCCTGCAAGTTCAGAAGCGGCGTTGGGAGGCCGCCTGGCGAACGCTTCTGAAGCCCAAGTTCATACATTTGGCGAAGAGAGGAATAAGAGGAAGGAGGCCTTGGGTTGGATCAGTTCAGGGATACTTAATGGGCAAGGCAGGGCGGGCACAGTGGTTCCCACTGACGATTAAAGGGAAACTTCCCTGGTTGTGTGTCTTCTGAGGGTTCGAGAGTACTCAGGATCGCCTAAAACAGACATGTTCCTTCTACCTTGACACGCTTTTAATGTATACTATTGTAACTGCAAGCAGCATGGCACAAAGGAGTTATTCATCCTTTGTGAGGATGAATGTGAGGATGGATGCTGCCTAACCATGCTGTCGGTGGCACTGAGTACAAAACATTAACATGTAAGGGAATAAGGGAATATGTAGGAACTGATGGATATGGCCTTATATTGCTGGATAATAAATCCCAATTTTAGCCTAAGAGATGCTGCTGCTTTTGGAACATTCTCCACTTCGATGAAGTGTGTTGCTAGTCGCGAAGTTGTGTCCGACCCATCGCGACCCCATGGACAACATTCCTCCAGGCCCTCCTGTCTTTCACTATTCCCCAGAGTCCACCCAAGCTCACACCAACTGCTTCAGTGACTCCATCTGGCCACCTCATCCTCTGCTGTCCCCTTCTTCTTTTGCCATCTATTGTTCCCAGCATTAGACTCTTCTCCAAGGAGTCCTTCCTTCTCATTAGGTGGCCAAAGTATTTGAGTTTCATCTTCAGTATCTGGCCTTCTAAAGAGCAGTCAGGGTTGATCTCCTCTAGGACTGACCGGTTTGATCGCCGTGCGGTCGAAGTGACTCGCAGGTGTCTTCTCCAGCACCACAATTCAAAGGCCTCAATCCTTTGGTGCTCAGCCTTCCTTATGGTCCAGCTTTCACAGCCATACATTGCAACTGGGAAAACCATAGCCTTGACTATACACACTTTTGTTGGCAGGGTGATGTCTCTGCTTTTTAGTATGCTGTCTAGATTTGCCATAGGTTTCCTCCCCAGGAGCAAGCGTCTTTTAATTTCTTGGCTGCAGTCCCCATCTGTGGTGATCTTGGAGCCCAGGAAAATAAAATCTGTCTCTACCTCCATTTCTTCCCCATCTATTTGCCAGGAAGTGAGAGGATCTTAGTTTTCTTAATGTTGAGTTTCAAGCCAACTTTTGCACTCTCCTCCTTCACCCGCATCAAGAAGCTCTTTAATTCCTCTTCACTTTCTGCCATGAGAGTGGTATCATCTGCATATCTGAGGTTGTTGATATTTCTCCCAGCAATCTTAATTCCAACTGGTGATTCATCTAGGCCCGCCTTTCTCATGATGTGCTCTGCATATAAGTTAAATAGGCAGGGCGACAGTATACAGCCTTGCCAAACTCCTTTCTCAATTTTGAACCAATCAGTGGTTCCGTGTCCAGTTCTCACTGTTGCTTCTTGACCCACATACAGGTTTCTCACGAGACAAATAAGATGGTCTGGTACTCCCATCTCTTTAAGAACTTGCCACAATTTGTTGTGATCCACACAATCAACGAAGTGTATAGGGTACAATTCTTTTGTGCTTTAATTACTGGCAGGTTTATATGGCAATCATGACGTTATTTCCTCCTAGTATGCTTAGTATGCTGTTTTGAAAATATGTGCTTCAGATGTCACTAATCTTTCCCCTCCCCCTTTTTTACTTGATGTCAGAATTAGCATAACAATATTAACTCTGCTATTGACATTCTTCATGTGAGTGTTGCTTCCTAAGCACAATCACTACATCTGTGGTCGCATTTATGTATGTATGCACATAACCTGATCACTCCTGCCCTTGACTTTCAGAATGAAAATTTTTAATTATTTTCATTGGTATGTCCCAGTGTTAAAATAATTGATGGGAGAAAGAACAGAATAAAACTTTCCAATGAATTAAGAGTGCACCATGTAGGTTATTCCATTCAGGGTCACAGCAGTCCTGAGAGGCAGGTTAGGTTAAAATGTAGTGACTTGGACTAGGCATTTTAGATGAAGTTTTTCTAGTCAAGTACTATGTAACAGTGCAGTGACATAGTTTAAGTCAGAACTGAAGGATCTTGGGCATGGGTCCAAATCTGGCTTTCTAGGATTCTTCAGATGGCCTGTCCCCATTCTCCTTTCCACCAACTGTAATTTTCTGGATTTTGTGTAACTTGCCCCTTATTCTGAAAAACTGAAATGATTCTAAGATTCTAAGGCAGTACTAAGCCTTCATAAGAACGTGCAGCTCAAATATGCTGATATCCTTTGCCTCACCCACTTTGGTCTTTGTCACTTTCCACCCTTGAAATATGGTCACAAACATCTCTGAAATGAAATTTGGCCCTCAGGTTGAAAGAGTTCTGCACTCCTGGTTTAAGTAGTGCCAAAGTGGAGTCTGAACTAGGTTACTTCTGATATCCCTTCTGGGATAAAACTATAAATATTCCTATAAAATATTCTAGTATTTTTAGAGAGCAAGACAGCATTACAGTAGTTGATTCAAATGTTCCCCATGCATGGATGGAAAATAGTTCTGCCTGGACATGGTGAATATCCAGAGTACCTTCCTATGCAACTGCAACCTGTAGCTTTAAAAGGTTAATTAATCATCTTCTGTGGTGCACTGAAGGAAGGGAACTTGAGTTGCTGCCCACCCACCACCATTGTTACTCATATACATGCTTGTAGAAGTATTTGTTTTTCTCTTCTTTAGGTCCAAGGCAGTTTTTGTATAAGTAAAAACCCAAGAAGAGCTATGCTGGATCATATCAAAATCCTATCTATCCAGTGACTATGCTGACTACGTACCTGCTTATGTTAACCGTAGCTGTTTTTCTCATTTCTGCCTAATAGGAGACAGATTTTTGCTGAATTCTGTCAGAGGAATAGGTCTTTCTGTTTGATTCACTTGCATTTGGAGTGGTGGTAAATTGGCTACAAAACTGAAGCTCAAGGAAAACTCAAAATAATAGTCATTCATTCATTCATTCATTCCATTTTTATACCAACCAATAGTAAAGGCTCACTGGGTGGTTAACAAACATTAAACAAAAATGAAAACAAGTATGTAAACACACACAGCACAATTGCAGTTGAATCAGCATAGAGGCATAACAGTGGTATAGGATAAAATGTAATATTAAAAAATGAAGCTAAACTGTTAAAATTCTGGAAGAATAGAAAGGTCTTCACCTAGTACTGAGAATACAGCGTAGATGCCACGTGCATCTCTTTCTACAACTGGGGTGCCACAACTGAAAAGGTCCTCCTGTTAGCCACCTGCTTCACTTTCTTTGGAAGGGGCTCCTGGAGGACTCCTGAAGATGAACCCAAGGTCCAGGTAGGTACATACAGGATGAGGTGATCCTTCAGATAACAAAATCACAAGTTGTTGAAATAATGTGGTATATTTTGCTGTTGGAGAAAATGTTTCTCAAATTTTCATAAATCAATTAGAAGTTGTAATCTACCTAAAGAAATGCAATCTTTTCTCTGGTTTAAAAACATTGGCTTTCAGCCAAAATACCATAATGAGAATTCATTTTGCTTATTGTGGTACATGTGTTTCTGTTTTCAATTTCCTGTTATTAGCAAGAAGGCTCTCTGTGTGCCCAACACTGTTTGAATAACTTACTGCAGGGAGAGTATTTCAGCCCAGTAGAACTGTCTTCTATTGCACAGCAGCTGGATGAAGAAGAGAGAATAAGGATGGCGGAGGGAGGAGTTTCTAGTGAAGAATATAGAACATTTTTGCAGGTAAACAGCCTTTAAAACTGTTCAGGTGGCCTGACATTCTGGGAAGTGGCTTTATATGAATTTACTACAAGTGCCCCCTATATTAAAAAGCTCACTTTTGAATTATAAAACATAACTTTAAATGTCTTCATACTAGTTTATTTCATACTTCTAAACAGAAATGACTAGAAATAGGAGTGCCTGGCAAACTGGGGAGAAAAGGAACGATTATAAAAACGTAGAAACTGAGTCAGAAGAGGTCTTCCAGGCCCGGGCCATCTAGTCTGACCCCTGGCTCCAGCCAGCTCCGCTCATGACATGCCTACCATGTGCATTATTCTTCACTCCTTTCTTTTAAACTGGGGCCCACATATGGGGAAGTGTCCAGGCTACACAACCAGGAAGGAAAGGCTTTAATCCCCGGCACAATAACTGTTCAGTCTAGCAGTCCCCATTTGGATGTCTCAGATTTGTCTTGAGGCTCCATGTACTTAGTCTGTATGCTGCACGTCATCAGCATACTTTTCTGTAAATACTAGGATATCATAATAACAGGTGCTAGTGTCTTAATTTCCCTGTTAAAATTCATTCTGTTGCCAGGATGAAATAATTGCATAGGGAATTTTTGCTATATCTGTGGCTCTGTGTGAGAGGAGTTGTCCTTTCTACTTCAGTATTGTCAAAAGTTCTGCTTGTGCGGTGTGCCTGAAGAGACTTCTTTCCTAGCAACTATGCGGAGGTCAATCCCTTTGATTTTAGTGGTGCTTATTTTCTCATAGTATAATATTTGCATAAAAAGACTAAATTTGCTCTCTTGCATCTGGATAAAGGCAACAGGCAATACCTGTCTGTTTTCATTAAAAGCCTTTGAAGTCTCTCTGCTAAATATACCACTAAAATTTCATTTAAAAGCCCATGGCATATAGATTATATTTGTTTAGTTTAACTAAAACTGCTTATCAACTTCCAAGGTCGTTACAACTGCCTTTTAAGTGACAGAGTAACTTTGTATTCCTGTGCTAAACAACTGCCAAGTTTCACACTTCCATCTGCCATAGTTGACTGGTGGGGTGTGTCCTTGCTGAGTCTGTTGGATCTCTCAATAGTCTTCAGTTCTATTAACCATAGTACCCTTCTGGATTGTCTGAGGGAGTTGGGAATTGGGGGCACTGTCCTGTGGTGTTTCCATTCCTACCTCTCAGGTTGGTTCCAGATGGTGATGTCTGGAGACAGTTGTTCCTCGAAGAAGAAGTCACACAGGTCTTAATGTTGCGTTCAGTACTATTTAACATCTATATGAAGCTGCTGGAAGAAATAATGCAGAGTGGCACTGGGTGTTATTAATATGCTGATGAAACCCAGATCTGTTTCTCTCTACAACCATCTGTTTCTTCTTCAAGAGAGAGCATATCTCTTCTGAATGACTGCCTGAAGCTGGTAATGGGTTGGATAAGGAAAAATAAATTGAAGCTGAGTCCAGTCAAAATAGAGGTGCTTGCTGTTAAGGATTTGAATCCACACTTAAGAGGTGTGTCAACCAGTTCTAGATGGGGTCACACTCCTTCTGAAAGAGTATGTTCACAGTTGGGGATACTTGACCCAGCCTTTCAGATGTCAGCACAGGTAGAAGCTGTGGTCAAGAGTGTCTGCTGTCAGCTTTGACTGATTCACCAACTGCACCCCTTCCTGGAGGGGAATGATCTGAAGACAGTAGCATAATTGCTGGTAACTTCTAGGCTTGATTTCTGCAATGTGTTCTACATAGGACTGCCCTTGTGCCTATTCCAGAAACTGCAACTAGTACAAAACATGGGGGCCAGCTTTGTTTCTGGGACATCATGGAGAGATCATAAATCATCAATATTAAAGTCTCTGCACTAGCTGCCAATTCGTTTTTGGACACAGTTCAAGGTGTTAGTAATTACCTTTACAGCCCTTTCTGGCTTGGATCCAAAATAATTTCAAGAGCACTGTTGTCCATACTTTCTGCCTCATCCGCTAAGATCCTCTAATGTTCTGAAGTTTGCTTCCACAAGATTAACTTCAGCTACCTGGAGGACTTTCTCAGGGGTTGCCCCTAAACTGTGGAATGGTTTTCTGGGAGAGATGCATCAGATATCCCAGATGGCTACTTTTAAGAGGGAGTTAAAGATGTATCTTTTCCAAATGATTAGTTTTATGCTTTTTAGTCAACATTTTAATTATTGTTGTCTTTAATCTCTTGTAAACACAGAGCCTGTGGGAATGGGGCAGTATATAAAAATCTAGATAGATCAATAAAATAATGCCAAAGCAGATCAACTTCTCACTGATGGATATTTTCAGTCTCTGGGCCATCAACCTGCTAGTCACCTAGGATTTTGCAAGAAATGATGAGACTGATTTCACTGATGAAGAAGAGGAAGATAGTGACTTCTGTCAAATCTGGAATTACTTTTTTTTTTTTGGCTGGACAAATGGGACTTGGTTCTGATCTAAAGATGTTTTCAAGTTGTTATAAATGGATTTTAGTATGATCATAGAATGTTAAAAGATATGTAGTAGGGGGTTGACTCAGTAAATCCAGTGTGTGTGACGACTGATGTTTGTAGTATTAGTTTTAAAATCTTAATAAAATTTCTTAAACCCAAAAACCTGCTAGTCACTTATGCCTGCTGTTATTACTTAAATAAAGAAACTTTTTAAAATGAACTTTTGTGTAGATCTATAGGTATAATATGCATTATTCTTACAGAAAGCATATGCAGCAACCTACTACATGAATTTAAGTTTTCCCAAATTGCCTCATTTTAAAAAACCAGAGCTTTCTCCTTTGCTTTCCAAAAGTCTAAAGATATATATCATTAAGATATATTCTGTGAAATAAGACAAATACTGCAAAACCTTTTCCTTTACCACCAATTATACATATTTGTGCATAGTCCTAGGATGGATTGAGATTTACTGAGGTTGCAGAAGTATACATGTTTATCTGGGAGAAAGTTCAGTTTTTAAAATTGTTTTTATTTTTAAGTAGATATGCAAAGGATAGTTCTATAAGTATACTTTGTGGTGAGTAAAATTAAGAATGGACATAACTCATTGTATGCTCTTCATTTTTTTTTTTTACTCATTGTAAGCTGTTTTTAGCAGTATGGGTTAATTACCTTTTTAATTCTTTGTTGAACAGCAGCCTTCTGTAAACATGGATGACAGTGGCTTCTTCTCAATTCAAGTAAGCTTCTCCTGTAGTTTCAATTGTTTGAAAAAATAGAGGTATAACATTTTATTGTATAAAATAATTATTGAAACAATTTTATTTATGCTTCAATGAGATGTGATGGGTTCACATTTTAGAACTGTTTAGGAAATACTTGGGGAAAGCTTATATCTTAAAATAGATGTTTACATTCCAACAATACACCGAGCAAATCCACGGTTTATAGAAATATCTTTGGATTACATCCCTGTAACCCTACAGTCAGTCTGGATGCTTACATTCCACTGATTTTCTGTGGGTTGTATGCAACCTAACCATTTATGGATTCCAGAGGTACAAATTGAAATCAGAGTTTCTCTGTTTTTTTAGGGATGGTTTTTATATACCTGTCCTTCAAACTGGCAACAATATTAATGCAATTAAGATTTTGCTGTTTCCAGTTGTAGTTGTACAACTACAATTGTAATAGCTGCTGAGAGAGTCCAATTGTGGGCTAATGTAGCAGTATATAAATTGAAATAATAAACAAATACTAGTACAACTGCATTTATTTGACATACACAAACATTTCCATTAAATTATGCTCTTGGTAAATAGAATCCAAGCCCATAGTTCCAAAGCCTTGAGCAGAAATCCTCTTCAGTTTTTCTCTATGCTGCATTCAGAAAGATGGAAGTGCAGTGTGTACATCTACATTTTATACATCAGATGTGTAATATCTTAACGTTTGCTTTGCTTCCCAAATTACATATATAAAGATGTAACATCCAGTATTAGAGGTAGTGTGCCTATGTATACTAGTTGCGGGGGAGCAACAGGAGGGTGCTATTGCATTCATGTCCATAAGTGGGTTCCTGCGGGCAGCTGGTTTGCCACTTGGTTTAACCAACCACTGGACTAGATGGACCTTTTGTTGGATTCAGCATGGCCTTTATGTTCTTAAAGCATGGATGCATGCACAGGAAGGTCATATGGTTTTTTAAATTTATCTTGTCCCTGTTGTAAGCTATTTTGTTAATTTACCAGACTGAAAGGTGGGCTGCACAGTTAGTGAGTAATTAGTGCCAAGTAAATAATGAGTAAGTCACAGGATCTTAGATCTGTGTACATGTAACACATATAGTATAGTTCACAGTGTTACAGAAAATACCAGTTTTGAAGAACAAGACAAGTTTGTATAAAGCAGAGTTGCCAGATATTTCTAAAAGATACAGAGATTTTGGAAATTGGAAGATGTTCACTTGCAACTTCCAATTGCATTTTGCTATAAGTTGCTTTGTTCTTTTTCTACAGGAAGAGAGACATGTCTTGAGTGAAGGTGAATTTTCTCTTTAATCTCTCAACTGCCTGTTTCTTAAGCAACTTCAAACATTTCCAGCAATTTGATATTAACCATGCTTTAAGATCAGGTGTTTGTGACATTAACAAAAATGTGTGGAAAGTACTTAGAAGCTTAGAATATTTGAAAGATCTCAATAATTATTCTGGATATTATATCACTTGTAAGATTATATCCTCAAATGCTTGTAACATGATTTGTTTGAGTGATATCTTAGGACCAAGGTAATGGTTACCATCTTGTGCTAAATACTTTTGTAGTCATAGTTTGAAATTAATTAAGGCTACAGTCTTCTTGCCAGTATGGAGTTCAGGAACTGATAGCCTTGGAGGCAAATCAAGTTATGATTATGTAGCTGCTCAAGAGTTATGTGTGCCTTTTGATATTGTATTGGTCAAATTGTGAATTGTTGTTCCCCGTTATATATATGGTCTGATGAACATAGATTCATATAGGTTTACATTGGAACTTTCTCACTCCAGTGGTTTCCTTGTAATAAAACTTTACCCCCTTTTCACTCCCAGCATTGTGAAAACAATATATTTGTTTTTAATAATAGTTAAAATGGTTGCATTGCTTAAATTTTATAACTGACTGGTTTGTCTCATGAAAAGTGCTGTTTTTTGACAGGTTATAAGCAATGCCTTGAAAGTTTGGGGTTTAGAACTAATCCTCTTCAACAGCCCAGAGTATCAGAGGCTCGGGATCGACCCTATGTAAGACTTTCTTTTTAGCTCCCTGCATCCGTTATACAAAGATGATGATGATGATGATGATGATGCCGATGCCAGAAAAAGAAGTCCTATCATTTTCCTTAGAAATCCTTTTGAAAATTATTATAAAGTTCTGGTTTATCTTCTCAGCATTTTCCTTTTTCATATTATTGAGGCCTTACATGTCTATTTCTCCTCTGAGCCTTCATGATATCTCAGTATCTGTGGCATCACAGAATGCTGAGTTTGAATAGTATGTTGCATCATATCTGCTTTATGACATCTTTGTATTTATATATGTAAAGTATATATATTATAAAATATTTTGAAAAGAATACTATTGGAATACTCTCAACTGTCAAAAGAGATAAAAGATCACTTAATTGTAGCTGTATTACGTAAAATATTTTAAAAATACAAACATTGTGACATTAAAAATAGTAAAAACAATAAATTTGAACTGTAATTTTTAATTCTGTGCATACTTTGTGTTTTTCTTCTTTCAGAAATGAAAGATCTTTTATTTGTAACTATAAAGAACACTGGTTTACAGTTCGAAAATTAGGAAAACAGGTGACTTTTTTTCTTGTTTAAAATTTACTAGGAGCATGGGTGTCAAAAGAATATTGTTTTTGGGACCAGGTACTATGTCACATATTTGATAGCCAAGGACTAGAGCTGAATAATTCCATTGCTATTTACTTGTATCACAAAGCAGCCATATTGCTTGATATAAATATGTCTAGGAGGGACAGTTTGCCACCTGTGGGTTTACTTTAGCAGCCTGTAAAATGTACATCCCAGTGGCAGTTTAGATTATTGGCTGCTATCCCACAGGAATCTATTGAAATGGGAAGAGTAAGATTATTTTAGTTTCTTGGGGTGCTGGGGGGTTGTTTGTTTTAAGAAAAGTATAGATTATGTCACGTCTCAAGAGGGGCTGCTCAGCCTGCAAATAATGAAGTGTAATAAAAGGAATATACTAAAAATTAGTTTGTGCCTGTGGGTGGTTGGGGTGGTCTTACTGATATTTGTTAGCATTTTAAAAAAAGGCATTAAAATAATGTTGGCATGATACTGCACATCAACTGTCCTTTCTCAGGGTATGTTAGGCAGTTATAACAGAATATCTTAGGAAACATTTTTCTTGTGTACACATCAGTGAAGCTTGAATGTACAGGAAACACTCTTTCAGCAATGGAATTGGTCTTCCTTCAATAAATGAACATGAACTGCGCATGCATATATTTAAACCTCTTATCTTGCTTTTCATATGGAATTGTTTCCCAATAAAATCCAATATTCTGATGACAGGTGCTGTGTATAAAAAAATTAATGAGGTGCAGGCCCTATCTTTGAGTTTTAAATTAAAAAACAAGGTTGCACAGTGAAAGGAGACTGGAAGGAAAATGTAGAGGAGGGGAGATAATTTTGATTAACAATGAAATGAAATTATTCTGTCAAACATGAAAAAATGAGTTGTCTAGGAAGTTTCCTTTTAGCTCTTAGCATAATTGTTCAGTTCTTTAGAGCACTAACTCAACAATTAAACCTTGCTGTATACCTCAAGCCCTTTGGTTGACACAACTAAAATGTGAGAAGCTAAGGTGAACTAAATGTAGTAGGGGAGTAGGCATAAAGTGCTATCATTTATCAGCCATACATATAGCTATGCCAAGACTGAGACATAGATCATTGGTTAAATTACATGTTAACTACCTTTATTTGAAATCTGTTTTTAAAATTACAGTGGTTCAACTTGAACTCCCTCTTGACGGGTCCAGAACTAATATCTGATACTTACCTTGCACTTTTCTTGGCTCAGTTACAACAGGAAGGTAATGCTAACTTTCAAATATTGAACTCTGTTACTTGAAAGCAAGAGAGTAAAGACAATTGTTAAGTGTACAGGAAAAGTCTATCTTAGTTGGTTTTATGACTAAAAGAATAGACTCACTAATGATGAGGGGAAAATGAAAAATTGTACAGTATTGGCTAGTAGCTTTTCTTACCGTTGCCATCCCACCTCTGCTAACCTTTACATATTGACAGGTTATTGACTCATAGTTTGGCCATATGCTTATTTTCTTCAGGCTATTCAATATTTGTTGTAAAGGGTGACCTGCCAGACTGTGAGGCTGATCAGTTACTGCAAATGATTCGGGTACAGCAAATGCAGCGGCCAAAACTGATTGGGGAAGAGACACTGCAAGCAAAAGATCAGAGGTAAGGTAAATAAAAACTTGTATTTTAATAAGTGTTGAGTGTTGATTCTGAGTACTTCTGGATCCTGTATGCAAACAAAGAAGTAATACAGACGCTAACAGCTGCATTTTAGAGGTTAGAGAGGCAGTTTTGAAACACCTTTCTCTCACTGCCTTCCACCTGCTGTCATTCATTTTGTCTGCATAACTGCATTATGTGGGCTAGAGAGAGTCTTCTTATCTTCCTTGTCCCCAGTTGTCCTAATGTGCTTAGCACCACTGTGTGCACATTTTGTTTGCCTTTATGGAAAGGCTTCCTTCTCTATTGACTGCATATTTCATCCCAACTCAATTATACAAGCCTGTGCAACATTTCTCTCTCCACCTACCTGTTGCACAGTCCCTCTAAACATTGATATTTTGCTCCAATTGGGAAACATAAGTTCTGTTATAATGTGTAAAAGAATTCATTCTATTACCATGATGCAATTTTTGCTAGGTAAGAAATGCAAGGTGCAGGGCTGTGTAGTGCCTGTGGGGCAGCACTACTTTGGAGATGTTCTGTCACCATCTCTTGATCATTATTTTCCTGTGTAGAACTGAGAAATTTGATTTCTATGGATGCTTAGCATCCTCCTGTACAAAGTGGCATTAGCAGCTATTTCAAATTCTTAATGCTGCTTTTGGTGCTCTTACTCTTGTAGAAAGATGCTTTTGAGACTCCTACTTAAAAATTTAAAATATATAAGCAAACATATTGAGATTTTTATTGTACAGAGGAGTCTCCATTGTTATGAAATTTGTTTTTAATTGACATTTAGAATGAAAACATTTCTACCATTCCAGGGTACAAAAACCAGACCTGGAACAAGCACTAGATGTTAATCACCCATTTGATGGTACAAGCATGTTAGATGAAGATGAAGAAAATTTTCAAAAAGCTCTTGCTCTGAGCAGGCAAGAAATTGATATGGAGGATGAAGAAGCTGATCTCCGGAGGGCCATTCAACTTAGTATGCAAGGTAAAATCTTTTATTTATTTAAAACACTTGTATGCCTCCATTAATCAAACAAGATTTCATGGCAGTAAATGACATATGCAAATGACATATGCAAATAACAATTCAGCAAAATAATGTGAAATTTAAAACACAATATAAAAATAGTTGTTATTGCATTCTTAACCTGACAACTAAAAGCTGTAAGGTAGGCACTAGGGGCATCTCATTAGGCACTTTAGTTCAAAATCAAGGTGCCCTTATCACACTTCCACTGAGGAAAGGTGCTTAAGAGTAGGGCCTCACAGTGAGCATGGTTCTTCCTGCACTAGCTGCAGCTCCTAAGTTGCAAGGGTGACTCTGGAGCTGGGCTAGCAAGGGGGCCAGGAATAGGAGGCGGCGGCTCCATCAGGACACAAGCAACCTTGGCAGTGCCTAAGCCCCTCCCTCCTTGGAAGCAAGGTAGAACACTTAGGAGGATGAAGGAAGTATGGAGGCAGCCCTTGTCTCATAGCTTTTGTAGGATGCCCACAATCCTCTGAGAGTTACAGGCAGCCACATTGGATGACACCTTAAGATAGTATTACAAACTTGAGAATTTGCAGTTACCTTTGAAGTCTTCATTCTGCTCTGGAAATCTCCAGTTTGGGTTTCTACAGTATACTACACATGAGACAGACCTTTTTATTCTCAGAGGCTTCTAATTATTGGTTGATGGCTACTGCTTGTCATGTTTTCTCTGATTTTTTCCCCTAGTGTTCTGCATTGCTGCTGTTCAGTCGTCGTATGTTTATCTTTTTATGAGGAATTTGGATTATAAATCACTTTGGATAATTTAAAGTGGATAATTTAATTTAAAGTAGTAAGTTAATATCTTCAGTTTAATCCAGTCTTTCCTAGTAATGGTGCATAGGTATGTTTCAATTTTAGGAGGCCATCGAATTGGCCTTTCAGATTCATCCACACAGAACATTCCACACTCATCTGAAACAAACCAGTGTGAATCTCTTACATCAGAAGAGTTGCGACGGAGGAGACAAGCCTATTTTGAAAAGTAATGTACATTGTGTAAAGTGCATTTTGAAGTTTTCACTAATTGGACATACTAATGCCAGTATTTATCTGGTACCTTTAACACTGGCACCTCTGCCTCACCACTTTATATTGCTCTAATTATATTAGGCTTATTTTCATGATTTTAAGTGTTAAGTCGCTGTCCTTTTTAGCCATGTAGATGTGTTGCTTCTTTTCATGTTTCTGTACAGTAGCAGTATGGAAGAGGATAGGAGGATAGTGTTGGTCAATGATAGCAGAGATTTCTTAATTGTGTAAGACCTACCATATACAAGATTTCTTCATTATGTAGATGATGATTCCATTTTGAATATATGCTTCTGGAGACATACTCTGCTTTCAAACAAGGCATGTATTCCCCTCACAATGCCCTCTGAAACAAAAGTATCATTTTTTTGGCTGCCACAGCAACAGTAAATTTGGTGGCAGGGAGGGAAACTGTATAAATAATAGCTGTCAGGGGAATATGCAGGTGTCATATTTCCTTTGCTTTATATAATTAAAATCCAGAGAGTCTGGATTCCTTTTCAAATTTATTAACTGGTTGATTCTTTCAGACAACAACAGTTGCATCAGCAAGTTCAGAATCCAGAGTTCCACAGTGCACCAGCTACAAGTTCAAATGTACTAGTCACTGATCCAGGTAATCCTTTTTCCAGATGTATTATAACAACTGTTACCTTGCTATTCCACCTGGTTTTCCACATGAATTCTAATAATGAAGCAAGAATCTTTCGGACTCTTCATAGCCGGCCCTTTTAATGTTTGGATATCTTTTTGATTTGAAAGAATTTGTATAGCTATCTATTGTGTCTTCACTGAAATAGTGTGAATCCTGTTGTTTCTAAACCTTGTTTTCAAATCAAGATAATCTAGCAATGGCACCCAAACTGTAGATGCAGCCATAAAACGTGTACTGGCCTTCTTGAAAGTGTGCCTTCCCTCCACCCCCAACAGCTCCTAATAGATTCTTTTTCATATCTGTATCATTCTATAAATATATGCACACTGATATATGAGAAGGGAAAGGTCTGCAGCCATAGAGAAGAATGAGGGACCACTGCCCCCCCCCATGTTGTTCTTCCAGGACACGTGTGTCACCCCATTGATGTTTTTCCTGTGGCTGCTTCTTATAGCTCCCTCTTTGTCACTATGTTCTATCAATCGTATCGCCTTACTCATTTCTATCACTTCTTGTTTCTACTTTGTACATTCTCTTTCTGCCTCCATTCCACAGTTGTCTCATGGAATAAATTATAAAATTGAACATGGTTATATTTCCCAGGTTTATTAACTAACATTAAGCTAGAGTTTTCTTGAAATTCTGGTTTAAAACCAAGCTATGATCCAAAACTAATGGTTTTTGAGGACTCAAATCCTTTCCCTTTCTTTAAAACATACTTGATAAATACACCCAAATCTCATCAAACTTAGTTTTCTTTATCTGGCCTTTTCTCACTTCAATATCACATGTTAATTTGTCATTAATAGCTATATTCCAAACTTCTGTATACCAATCAGACAATTGGTAATCATATTTTATTTTCCAATTCTTAGCTAAAATTAGTCTCACTGCAGTTACTAAATTTGTTATTCTTTATTATTCCAACTCCATTGTTTTTATCAAACAATGAAAGTAATGCAATCTCGGCATATATCTATTTTTAGATTTAATATTTTACTGCACTCTTTAAACACTTCTTTCCAAAATTTCATTATATATTTACATTCCCACCACTTATGGAAATATGTACCCACTTCATGACCACATCTTCAACATTCATTGGAGTATTTATTATCTATACAATTAGGCACCACTTTCACATAATTTTGTTGAAATTTTCCTTTATTCTAACTGATACACATTTTAATATCCTCTTCATCCAAATATTTTCCCAATCTTGACTTTTTTTTCTTAAATCCATTTCCTTTGTTGCTCTAAGTTAATGTTGATCCTGTTCTTCTAATATCTTAAAAATTAATTATCCTTTTCATCCACATATTGTCTTGTTTTTCCTTTTCTATAATTAGATCTTCAAATTTTGTTTAATCCCTGCACTTATCTTTTTCCTTATCCATTTTCTAGTCCAGCATTTTAATTGAATCACTTTATACCAAGTTATATTTTTCCAAGTTATACCAATTTTCCACATTATACCAAGTTCTTCTTTCTCAGTACTGCTTTTATCTCCTCATTTTTATTCATTTACTCTAACCAATCTTTTAATCTGACTATTTTTTAATTCTTATAGCAGCATTCTAAAAACTGATGGATTTTCTTTTTTTCTGCCAGGAGGTGATATGAGTGAAGATGATATGCTTCAAGCAGCAATGAATATGTCCTTGGAAAGTACTAGAAACACCTTGAACACAGAACAAAAGAAATGACAAAAATGCTTATTTTTTATCTAAACACTAAATTCTGTATTATTCCCATGTGGGTGGTATCAAGGTAGGGTTCATTTCACTGATGTACCAAAGCAGGATATATCCCTAGGACTACAAATCAGAATTAAAAGGCAGTCTGCATATAACACAAAGTATTGTCATAAAGGATTTAGCTTGGACCATATGACCAGTTCTAACCAAGTTGGTGGAAATACCACTTAAGCAAAGGTATATCAGTATGTTTTAAAATCTCATCCAGCAACATCTGGACTTATGAATGATCAGGATGAATTTGTGATAATCCGTATAATGTAAAGGGGAAGCAGCCCTGTTTAGCTAGGATGGCATGCTCTTGTGGGTTATTTACTTCAGAGCAAGATTAGCCTTTCATGCCCAGCTACACAGCAGCCCCTCACAAATTAGCCTAAGGCCCTTCTGATGGGATCATTCATGCTATCCAAGATTTTGTGTCAACTGAAATTTTATAGATGTACATGTATGCTGAAGGGTGCTGCAGGCACCTCTTCTGTCGACTGAATAGCTTAGGCTGAGTAAGTATAATTTGCCTTTCATTCCAAAGGTATTTCACTTGCCTTGTAAATAAACAGAATATTGATTAGTACTTTCTCTCCTTTCCAAAATGAAAGCATTTCATGAAATTATTAAAAGTTATTTTACTAGTATATGCAAACACATAACAGTTTAACTTCTGGAGTTAATAAGCTGCATCTTTGCTGTCTTAAGAACTGTAAGACATATGCAAATCAAGAAGCCCAATTTGGATCTTACTGAAAAACTACTTTTTAAAACCATAATGAAGTTTTAACCTTTTTTTTTCCTCAAAGGAGGCAAAAAGGAAAGAATTTTCTTTGTTACACTCTTTCTACTAAATTTTGGACAATCCTAGCCTCAATGCACTGTTTTAGTACAAGCACTCAGTATCACTTGGATGTTGGCTGGAAAACTGAAGTAGTGGGGTATATTTAGTGAACAATTCCTATTCTGTTGTAAGGGAATTAATCCTTTGCTTTATCTTTTATGTTCATTACTGACTTTGTACATGTATTAAAGACAACTAGATGATCATAAGCTGCCTTATACCAAGTTGGACCATTAGTCCATTTACTCTATTATTGTGTATCCTTTGTGGCAGTGGTTCCCCAAGATCTCAAGGTTTTCTCCACAGCCCTTCTACTTGAGTTCTCTTTAACTGAAGATGTCTAAGATTAAACCTGGAACTATTTGCATGCAAAGCATGGGCTCTGCCATGGAGCTGTGGCCTTCCCAGAATTCTAGGCTGACTCAGAAGTGAGGAAAGATGCATTTTGATGCCATGACTTCAGTGCCACATTACTAATGTGCATACCTGCTATCTGAAATGAACTCTGCATGGTTACCTATGTATTAAGAATGATATTCCTGAATGTGTGTGGATGTGTATTCTATCAGATGTTAATGAATGTTTTCTGCCTGCAAGAATTTTGCAGCTTTTCATGAATGGCCTTCGTTCATGCACCTTACAGAATTTTCTGCCATTTTTTCTGTTACTAATGTAAATTTGGGAGCAAATTTTAAGCTAATTTCATTCTTTTAATTGAATTAAACTACAACAGATGTTCACACTTGGCATTTTATATTACAAAAATAGTATTTTTTTTCTTTTCCTTTTTTATAAATGATGCTTTAAGCATACATTCTGTTTACATATATGTCTTATGGCTATGGTTTTGGATGTTAGAGTGTACAAACTGTATTGTGTTTAAGCCATAGGCTTTTGCCAGACACAAAGAAAAATCTTGCAAAACTTTTTTTTGCTAATTGTTCCCAATATATTATATTGCACCATACTGATGTGTCATCACTAGCCACCGAATGATAAAGAACTGTATGCAAATATACGGTACGATAAGGAATAATACATTATAATGAAGAATACATGGACTTTGGTATTTGTTTACAATTATGTTACTTAGATGGCTTGCTTAGATAGAGGAGCCAAATCCCAATTGCCTTACCTGCATGCTTGTTGATATCTGTAAAACCATTGTGTAAGTATAGGCAATGGGGTTTGGCTCTGAAGATGAGCATAATTTTGAAAAATGGAGCTAGCCTTATCATTTCTGTAAAGATAAGGTAGCACTGTTTGTCCCTACACAATTAAGGGCTCCATCCTATGCTGGGAATTATGGGACTTTTTTCTGTCTAAAAATGCATAGGATGGCACTCTTACCTGATTAAGGAAATTAGCTTGCCAAATTTAATGCACCATATTCTTAAAACGATTGTAGTGTTAGTCAAATAAAGCTATCTGTATTGATTTTATTTTAATTTTGTTGCTTTTAAGCTATTACTTGAAAATATGCGAAGGGATTCATATAAAGCATAAAATGAAATCATATGAGTCTGTAAAAACCATAATTTTATTTTTTCTTTGTACTTTTTCAATAAATGGTGTTCTTCTGGACAAGCACAGTCTGGATGAATTTAGGGCCACTTCCTTCACAAATACTTTGTGCTTAGGTTCAGATATCCAAATACAAAACATGTCAGTTATGAAGGTTAAAAACGGTTTCAAATATTCCCATTCAGAATATCCCAAAGTAGAAATGACACAACCCTATTTTCAAGGCATATTTAATCAAGTTATGATTAAACATAAGTGCACCTTGCAGGATTGATGCAGTAGATGCACTTTTGGTAGACTTTACCAAATACAAGATTTCTTTGTTCAGAAACTTGTAAACATGAGTTTAAAAGAGCTTTTTAAAATTAAGTAATTGCAGGCCTTCATTCTGATAGGTGGTGTTCAATCACCGCAGCATCTTATTTCTCAGTCTAGGGTATGAAGTCAATGGAAAATCCCGAGGATTGTCCTCCTTCAGTTTTACATTACATGTCCTCCTTACATAAATATTTTTCCTTTTTTGAACTTTTATGAATTAAATATTTTCTACTATCAGTATTAAAACTACCGGAAACATAAAAAGTCCCATATTTGTCCTCTGTACACTGCACAGTTTAACTACAACATTTGAAAAATGCAGAATCCCATTGTAACAAGAATTAAATGGAATAAACCTAGGCTTCATCACCATGCTATAGCTAGACTGTAGACAGTGAAAGGATTCCGTTGACCAAAAGCTTTGCCTCACCTTCCTTAATCCAATTGAATTTTCAGGAGAGGTGTAATTACTACGTATTTATTTTTTTCTTAACCAAATCATGGCAGCAGTGTATGTGGAGTACAAGCCTATCTTTCTGTAACTAAAAAGCTACCATTTGGGGCAAGGTCCAACTGGACCCCAGATGAATGAGTGATATGGTTTGCAGAGCATGGGTCATTCTGCTTTATTTAACCCATGACAGGCCTCAACACCTCACTTCATCAATATAGGCACAGTTCATTCTAAGATTATTCAAGATTTGTTCAAGACTTGGTCATTTGGTTCACATGACACAACCATCTCACCATAGATTAATGTGAGTGTGGCTCCTAGGCAACCCTGTTGAAGATGGTGCTCTCTGAGGTAAGAAACAACTGGTATCCCTGGCTGAAAGAGACTAAGTATGGATGCTGAGCCAAAAGATGAAAGAGATTAAATTCGGTCCAAGTGAATACAAGGCATTTAATAAGCTTTGTTAGACTGTTCATAAATCAGCCGAGTGCTATTCTTTCTCCAATACAATTAGAATAGGAAAGGATACATACAACAAATGCATACACTTTGTGTGTACCTGTCTCAAAAGCTACTGCTGAGTTTGCATGCCTTTTCATACCCAGAACTTTCTAAGATCTGCAAACTGCAGATGTGTTTTGTAAATAAAGCGTTTATTTTACGTTCTATGGCTAACAGTAGACCTCTTCCAAAGTTGAAGTTATTTGGCTCTGCTGTCTCTCTATGGCATAATGAACGACAAATTGGATTAATTCTGTGAATCCAGACTACTGGGTTGTTTAAGGGCTAAATAACCCAGCAGATGATCAATGATTTCTTGCGGGGTTAACTAACGCCTTGTTACAATGCAGCCTTCCCGGTTCACAAGGGAACCTATAACAAGTACCTGGAGAAGTGAGGGGCATGCAGGAGCAGGCTTTAATCCCTATAGGTTTACTTACGTGGGAAAACGAGCCATAGAACAGCAGGATTAATTTCTCAGTAAACATGCCAAGCTCATTCTGCAAAACCCGCGCCTGGTCTCGCTCGCCACTCTTCAAGCAACCCAAGCGGCCTGATTCGCCCCCATACCAGACTTCCGTATCCCGGCTTGCCTTGCTCCTTGGGTCACGTCCCTGAGCGCCTACGGGGCCGTTCTAGCCGCTGGAGCTCGGTGGTGATCTGGGAGGTGTCATGGCGGCCGTCGAGGTGGCAGCCGAAGCTAGAAGGCTGACGGCTAACTGAGGATCGGCTGGCTGGACGCCATGGCAGTGCCTTCGCTCTAAAAACAGGCCAGCGGCTGGCTTCTTTTCTCTAGCCTGCTCAGCGGAGGGACTAACCCGTCTTGGGTTGGGGGTGGCAGCACTGGGGAGACCTGGTGACTGCTACTGCCACTGCTGTTCTCGCCCTGACTCTCCTTCCTCGGGGCCGGCGGGCCCTGCTAAGCGACAACAGGGATGGCGTCGTGGTTGGGGGGCCTGGGGGCGGGGCTTGGCCAGTCCCTGGTGGGCCAGGTAGGAGGCAGCCTGTCGACTCTGACCGGGCAGATCTCCAGCTTCACCAAGGATATGCTGTTGGAAGGCACAGAGGAGGTGGCAGGTAAGAAAAGGGGGGGTGTTGGGGGGTGGCAGAGACGGTGGCAATGGGCAAAGCGTCTTCAGTGTAGAGAATACAAAGGAGGCATACCAAATCAAAAGTTTGTAGAGTGGGGGAGGAAATAGTTTTAATGTGGCCCATGCTTATATCCGGATTCATGGGGATAGGCTGTAAAGAAGACGTACATGTTGGGTGTGGAAAGGTGGGAAGAATGACATACGATTTTCTTTGATGAAGACAAAGTGGAATGTAGATCAAAAGCTATATAAAAGAAAAGGTGATTTGAATCTATGTGTATCTTTATTTTATTTCTATCTTCCCCATAAAAGCTGCAAGCTAAACACAAAATTTATAAATATTACATGGTCTTTAATGGAACAGCACCTGTGCAGCAGTTGAGGATCAAATTTCTCAAAGCAGAATTCTAAAAAGCCTGCTGAAAAATCAAAAGTCTTTACTGCTTACTAAAAAGTGGGTAGTTGTGTGACCCAGTGAACTTCTTTTCTTGGATGTTCTGTTGCCTTTCTTGTCTTCACCATGGAAAAAAGATCCATACTTCAGTTATTGGAGAACATAGCTTAACCTTGGTAGACTGTTACAACGTTTGGCTAGTTTCATATGAGAGGACTGTGGGGATCTTTAAGATATTCTCAGGATGTTCTGAGTTTTAACTATTAAATCCAGACTTTAAATTGAACATAGAAACAAATAGCCTTTGGAGTTAATGAGGGCATAAGCTTATTATGCTCCTATGTGCCAGTCCTTTGAACAAAACAGTGTTGCTTTATGGATAGTCCCCTTGTACTAAGTATGTTACATGGGGGAGGGGGAGGCGAGTAGCAAAGTTGTAACATACGGAAGGAATGTAGTACTGATCAAAATGAGGTAAGGAGGAGATTTTCAAAAGCTTTTCAGTGTGGGACTCTCTATAAAGTATGTCACAGAAGCAGCATTCAAGGATCCAGAGGCAGTATATAGGAGTGGACAGTTGGGAATATCTGGCTAAGAACAAACCTGTGGAAGTGTGTAAGGTGTACTGCCTTGGATTCTGTGGAGGTTGCTGCTGTAATGAGCATTAAAGACTTAAATCTGTAGTTATTTGACTGCCTGTAAATACTTTATTGCTAGTTTATAGAGAGAGTTCAAGGCAATGTTAATTCCTAATCATTGGCTTTGATCAGAAGTAATGCTAAATTATGGTTCATTGCTATTTTAGAAAGCATTTGACTCATAAGCTCTTCCATTCTCTCCAACATGAAAAGTGATAATTAGCTTTTGCTTCATGGTTACTCATTAACTAGCCATGGTTACTCATTATGTCTAAATCCAAACAAACTCAGTTTAATCTTAACTGTGATATTAGGAACTAAGCCAACGTTAAGCCATGTTTTTTTAATCCTGGCTGCTTGTTTTCCTAAAACATAGCTAAATTTAACCACAGTTTCTGATTTAGCCATTACATTAGAAGCGAAAGTTTCCAGTCTCCTTTCAACTGTGAGAGAAGAGCAGGAAGCTTATAAGACATGCTCATGCACATAAATGATAACAGATAGTATACCATTACATCCCAATAGGATTTTTTAATCCCTTGTCTGATTCAAATGTGACTTTTCCTTCCTAAAATATTGCTTCCTTGTGAATTTTCATAAACAAAAATATTGTTCTACAACAAGAATGTGCCTTCCAGCTTTAGAAATAGTTCAACAAGCTTTTAGTGAGATGTCATCCGTAACTAAATGGTTTTAATTATCCAGGAGTTGATATAAGTGGCAGTATTATGATGATCCCAAAATTTTACATGATGAAGAAAGATAATATTAGTTGCATGTAATAGGTGCATATAAAAAGGTAAAAATGAAGGGAAAAACCTTCCTTTTCTCTGTTCTGAATCCTGCACCAATCAACATAATAGGGTGATCCCAGATACTAGTATTATGGTAGAGAAAGAAAAATGTCCTCCTCCCCACTTTCTCCATGCAAAGCATACTTTTGAACATCTCTATTATGTGTCTCCTTACTTGCCTTTTTTTCCTGAGTTGTTTTTCTATTATTGTTAGATAATAAAAAAAATAAGAGGGTCAGAGAAACTGCCCCACCTGCCCCAAACTTAGCCTTGAGTACACATCCAAGTTCAAGGAAGCATTTTCTGCTAGCCCAAAGTTACTACTGGGTGTAATCAGTATTCTTGATGGTAATATTTTATTTATTTATTTCGATTTATATCCTGCCTTTTTCCCACAAAGGACTCAAGGCAGCTTACATCTCCTCCTCCATCTTATCCCCACAACAACAACCCTGTGAGGTAGGTTGGGCTGAGAGTCTGTGACTGGCCCAAAGTCACCCAGTTGGCTCCATGGCTGAGCGGGGACTAGAACCCAGATTGTCTGAGTCCCAGTCCCATGCTCTTAACCACTACACCACACTGGCTCTCCAATAGAAAGCCCTGTAAAAATAATACCAAACTTCTTTTCCTGCATGCATATATTTAGCAAAAAAATACATACCTCCATGAACTGTAATCCATTTAACTTGAAGGATTTATTTATTTATTACACTTCTATACCACCCCATAGCCCAAAGGGCTTTCTTCTAAGTAAAAAATTCATTCAGTAGCAGTAGTAAGAGTTATGCAGATTCTGGTTTACTTTGAAGACTTAATACTGCTGTACAGATGATTTATCTATTCTATATAATCTGTAGTAATTTAAAAATAAAAGGTAAGTGTGAAACAATACATAACCAAATGTAGATGAAAGATACACAGAAGGTATTGACAGCAGGTTTCTAACATTTAATTTACTAAATCCATACTTGTTTATAAATTATTTGGGTGGAGAATAAGAGAACAGTATTTCAATCACCTACACAAATAGTTGCTCTTCAATTATTAACAATTTTTTGTGTTACAACCATGAGAGAAACTTCCTTACAAACACACCTGAGAACATAGTTTGATATTAATTTTTGAGATGGTGACCCCTATGCACAGTAAGTTGATCCCTCAGGTTCATGGGGACAGTTTGTGTGAAAATGACATGTTTAAAAAATTACGTCATTTGAGAACATCTTTCACAGTGTACACTCTGAAGGCAAAGTTCAAATATCGCGTTGACTTTGTTATAGTCACCATTCAGTCAAGTGTCAGATAAACTGCAGTGATGATCTGTTCCTCCAACAGTGTGTTGTGAAAGAAACAAAGTGTTTCAACTGCTTAAAATTTGTAGAATATGTTAGTTTCAGGGTGTTTTCATCATGCTTGATGAAATGTAACTATATAGGCACTTTACTGAAAAGCTGGATTTTCAGAGATTAAGCTTCTGTGTCAGTGACTGTAACAACTACAGATGATACAGATTTCAGAGTTTTAATTTTGAAAATGAAACTTCTAAATGTTTAAGGGAAATCTTAGCTCTGGCAGATATTCAGTCTTGTTCAGATTTATTGTTTATATATTGCTTGCAGATAACAATAAACCAGAATTGCTGAGTTATCTTGGTTTACTGTGAATGAACAGTGTGTTGCTTCAAACAGCTCATTCACTCCTCATCTGCTTTTGTGTGAGCAGATAAAATAAAAAAGGAATAGAAGGCTTTGCTGACATTTGGACTTGATTGTTTGTTTTGTTTTATTTTTAATTCTCTCACACAAGCTAGGATTTGTAAGCTAACACACCCTAGTTTATCCCTGGCTTACAACCCTGGCTTATTTGTGAATAACAAACAGAATCATTCATACCTTTTAGTATCTGATTGTTTTACCTGCTTTCGTAAAAAAAAAAAAAAAGCAGTAAAGAGAGGATAAACAAGCTTCTTGCAGCAGCATGCTGTTCATTCACCACCAGCAATTTACAAATAAGCCAGCAAATTTGACTTACTGTTATATTTGAAAGAAACCAAGGATTTCTTTCAAATTTCATTCAATTTCATTTTCCAGGTACGGGAAATCTTGTATCCTGTATTACACACAGTCTGTAAAGCTTTCACAGAGAAAAACCAATCCTAAGGGGAAAAAAACAATTCTTGAGTTGTTTTTTAAAGCTGGTCAGGATGGCTGTAGCACAGATGGAGAAAAACTCATAATGAATCTGGATGCACACGGTTTAGAGCTCATTACTGAGTCTACGCTGTGACTGTGAAGCTTGCAAAGAGATTTTACTTTTCCACCTCCATTGCATCCTTTCAGTGGAATCCAGCTAAGCTGTTTCGAGTGGTTCAGGGGCGTTTACAAACTGACCTGGTGAAAGAAACAATGGAACTGTCAGTGGCTCCTTGTGAGGAATTTGCACAGCACTTTGAGGGTAAAATTGCTTGGATTTGTCACAAGTTTGACTCCATGGTTGATGCAATTCCTTTGGCTGAGACATCCAGTCCACTGTCTAGTCCGAGCTTATTGGACGAATTTCAGTTGTTGAGACCTAAGGATGTGAACAAGGTGCTTGGGTCCAGGAGGCTGTGAATGCCTCATTAAAAGAGGGACTGGTCCCAGCCACATTAAAGGAGGCTGTAATTAGACCACTCCTAAAGAAGGCCAGCTTGCACCCAGGGGATGTTAACAACTATATACATTTTAACTCTATGTTCTTCAACATCTACATGAAACCACTGGGAAAAGGCATCAGAACATGTGGCTGAGATGTCATCAGTACACTGATGACACTCAACTCTATTTATTTAAAACATTTCTAACCCATCATTTGCATAGCCTCAGGATGGCTTACAATTGAGTAATTCATAAAATACAATTAAAATATTCAATAATGAACATTAAAACATTCAATCAAAACAATTGTTCAAAATTTAAAAGAAGAAAGGAAAAGATGATAAAAGAAAATGTGACTGAAAGGAAAGAGGCGTTCCTTCAGGTATCCTGGTCCCAGGCTGTTTAGGACTTTGTAGGTTAGTACCAGCACCTTGAGTTGGGCTCGGACTTCAATTTGGAGCCAGTGAAACTGATAGAGAACCAGTGTTATATGAGAATAACGGCCAGCACCCGTCAGCAACCTGGCAGCTCTATTTTTTTCCAATTGAAGTATCTGGACTGTTTTCAAGGGCAGCCCCACATAGAGCGTGTTACAATAATCCAATTGGGAGGTTCCCAGAGCATGTGTCACCATTGCTAGGCAGTGCTCGTCCAGGTAAGGGCAGAGCTGTTGGATCAACCGAAGCTGAAGGAAGATGCTCCTTGCCACTGCAGTCACCTGGGTTTCCAGGGACAGCTCCAGGTCGAGGAACACTACTAGGCTGCAGACTCCGTCCTTTAGAGGGAGTGAAACCCCATCCAGGACAGGACCAAAATCAGTTACCTGAAAACCCGAACTGCCCACCAAAAGGATCTCTGTCTTATCTGGATTGAGTGTCAGTTTGTTGGCCCTCATCCAGCCCATTACCTCAGCCTGGCATCAGTTCAGGACAGCCACTGCCTCACCTGGTTAGATATAAATGAGAAGTAGAGCTGGGTGTCATCAGTGTACTGATGAGTCCGCAGCCCAAACCTTCTGATGACCTCTTCCAGCGGTTTCATGTAGATGTTAAAGAGCATGGGGACAAAATAGAGCCCTGCGGTACTGCATGGCAAAGCTGCCATGACGCAGAGCTATAGTCCCCCAGCACCACCTTCTGGAATTGACCGGCCAGATAGGAGTGGAACCACTGCCATGCAGAGCCTCCTACTCCCAAGCCGGCCAGCCTATCCAGAAGGATACCATGGTCAATGGTATTGAAAGCAGCTGAGAGGTCCAGGAGAACCAACAGGGATGCACTCCCCCTGTCCCTCTCCCTGCACAGGTCATCATACAAGGTGACCAAGACAGATTCAGTACCGTAACTGCATCTGAAGCCAACTGAGATGGGTCTAGATAATCTGTATCATCCAAGAGTGCTTGGAACTCTACCTTTCTTTTTCATCTGATGCAGGTGTGACAGTAGATGTTCTCAGTCATATTCTGACCTCAATGTATTGGATGGTGGCCAATAAACTGAAACTTAATCTAGACAAGACAGAGCGGGGGATCATCTGTTCAGATGGGTAACATCATGCCTGTCCTGGATGGGGTTGCACTACCCTTAAAGGACAGGGTTTGTAGCTTGGAGTGCTCCTGCACTGGAGTTCTTGGTGGATTTGGTGGCCAGGAGCTGATATATCAGGAACTAAAGCTGATGTATCATCTGTTGCCCTGTCTGGACAGACAGGACCTGGCAACAATAATTCACACACTGGTAAGCTCTTGCCTGAATTACTGTGATACACTTCTTCCTATATGAACCTACCCAGCCCCTTAGATCAACATCTGAGGACCTTCTAAAGGAGTCCCCTCAGATAAGGAGGGTGGCCACAAGAAATAGGGCCTTTTAGGATGGCACCCTGAGTTTGGAATGAACACCTCAGAGAGATTCACCTGGTGACCTCTTTGTATTCTTGTCCATGTCAGGCAAAGACCTTTTTATTTCGCCAGTATTTTAATTGTTAGATTGGTTTTAATGGTGATATATTTTAATATCGGGTGTGGCTTTGCCTTTTATGCAATTGTAGGTTATGTTAAGTTAAGATGTGACATGGGTGTGCTGTTGTTTTATGACTATATGTTTAATATTGTGTTTTTAATATTTCATATGGTCTTTTATATGATTTTATTGTCTTTAACCGGCCTGGGGAGCCATGTGGCTAATGGGATGATTTAAAAATCAAATACATTCTGATAAAAATATGGTTTGTTAGATATTTTCATTTTCTATCTGAAACACATGAATTGTCAATCCTAAACACAAGTATTGTTCTAAGTTGACTTCAGTAAGTAGTAGAAGTTCAGTTTAAAAGAGCCTTTTAAAATCTATTTTTATTGTTGCTTAATATATTGTTTTAGAACATATTCTAGAGGGTAAACTGGTAAAACAATGCTTCATTTGTATTGCCTTCCCACTTTTTTTCAGGTGCTGCAACAGAGTTTCCTGTATCTAACTCTGGTCTAAAAGACGTGGAAAATACTCTTGCAACACTGAGAGCAGAGGTAGGACATCAGTAAAAGCGAAAAGGAATATTGCACAAATATAGTTCATTTTTTCCATAAGTTTGGGCTACTTGGCATATTTTAATATAACAACACTGTTGAGTTAAATTGGATTTAGGTATTTTTCTGAAGATTCAATTTATTCCCTTTAGAATGAGAGGTTGAAGAAGGTTTGTAATGATCTGGAGGAAAAGCATGAAGCAGCAGAACTTCAGATAAAGCAGCAGTCCATGGACTATCGGAATCAGCTACAGCAGAAAGAGGTACAAAGTAGCTTAAAGATATTCAACAATATAATCTAATTTGTTTGTTAGCTTTGTAAATTATGCCACAAAATAGCCCTAAGCTTAGAGATGGCTTATCTGAAGGCAGAGTGGAAAGCAGTGATTAAGTGGCAGACTGGATTTTTTACAGAAAGGTAATACTAATAACTCTACATGCTAATTATGTGGGTTACTCAGTCCAAAGTAGGTCACAAAAACTGAATTATGTATTTTGTTTCTTGAAAGAGCTACTGCAAAATTTCTGGCAAAAGAATCACTTGCCTCTGTTAAGTTAAATGTGAAATTCCCTTTAAATAGAGTCATCTGAGATTATTTGTTCCTCTTTACTGAATTGTACATTTTAATGTGTCCTGCCTATTTAGGTGGAAATTAGCCATTTTAAATCTAGGCAGAATGCACTGCAGGAACAGCTGCAAAAGATACAATCTGCTGCTCAGTCATCACAATTAGGAGTTGCTGCCTCTCCATCAACTACTGTATCAGCTTCCTTTGTCCCTATGGCTAGACACACCTCTTCTGGTTTTCAAGGAGATGACATGGACTTTGGAGACGTAATCTGGTCTCAGCAAGAAATAAACAGATTATCCAATGAAGTTTCTAGGCTTGAGTCTGAAGTTGACCATTGGAAGCAGATTGCACAGGTGAGCCACTTTTCTGTGTAACCACTAGACTGAAGTTATTATTATTTTTAATAATAAATAAATTTTCTATGCGTTATTTTGAAACAACTTATAGAAAAATGTGTAATAAACAGTGGTACCTAGGTATAAATTGTTTAATTTTTGTGGGAATGAGCCAACTCTTTTCTTTGCTTTCCCATTATTTGAGAAAGGCTTCTATATGTCAATATTCAATTTACTCTCCCATCCAGAATGCAAATCTCTGCAAGCTTATGGTAGTGCTTAGCTTTATAGCTCAAAAACAAAAAAGTGTTAAAAGGAGAAAGTTGCTTCAGTCAAATTCCTGCTTGGCCTGGTTTGATGTCTGTGCATGTCACAGCTTATAAGGCTGTATGATAGACATCAAAGCTTATGTTTGTGCTCCAGAAAAAAAAAACTTGTATGCATTTTCACTGGAGACTGTTTTTTTCAATATAAAATGAATATTTGTAATACTTTCTAAAAAACTCAGTATCTTTTTATTGGTCCCACTTGCATACAGTGCTCTTTTTTCCTAAATACTGAGGTACTGTGAGCAAGCCACACAGCTTGATTGCTCCTACCAGTGGGGGTGTCTAAACAAGCCAGGTATATTTCGTCCTTGGATTGCTTAGAATAACTTGGAGCTTTGAGGCTTCTTTCCAGAATTAGAAGCCAGGGTTTATTCTCAGGTTACTATTCCGTGCAAACAAGGGCGTTGAATATTGCTTTAGTATATGAAGCTTTTTCTACTTCTGGCTTATTTCCTCAACAGATGTAAGGTTGAGTGACATTAACATGTAAGGGCACTTGAAAAATAAAAAGGTGTGCTATGATTTGAATGTAGGTTCTCTTGGCATTCTTTTCCCAGTGATATTATAGAATCATCCTGTTCTTTAATCAGGTGCTGTCTTCTGACTTTGTGAATGGTCCAATTGTGATTTTCCTATCAACTTAAAAGTTGCTTTATGTTGCTGCTGTATGTCATTTTTCAAAGACATAATGTCATTCAACAATAATACAGCATTTTCAAAACCAAACATTTCTTTGTCATTTATTTAGTTTTCCAAACCACAAGGAGCAAATAACACAGATCAGAATGAAATTGGCAAACTGCAAAATGTTATTAAGGTAAAACTACTCTTTTCATAAATCACCTTTTTCCTTGCGGTTGCTGTAATTTTCAGTTAATTTTCAAAATTGCAAACTGACATATGTCTAGGTCCTATACAAGTGGTAAAATAATTTGATTAAAGGTGAGAATGAACGTAAATGTGGATAAGCTTAAATGTTTCTTAAAGTGAGGTTGGGCCTCACCAGTGGGTCTCAGCCAGTTTCAGACTGGTCTCAGCAGTGCAGACTACCCAGTGCCTCTTTACTTGACTGCCTAGTGCTCTAGTTGCGACATGTACATTGCATAGGGAGGTGAATATTTTAAATCAGTCTTTTAAAAAAAAGGGAATAAAGAATGGGAAAGCTGTTACAGAAACTGAAAGACTTGAGATGAAAGAAAGAATGGGGATTGGATACAAGTTAAACGTGAAAGAAGATGGGGTGAAAAAAATGGCAGGAGATAGGTTAAGGAGACTTCAAGAGATCATAGAATCATAGAACAATAGTGTTGGAAGGGACCTGTAAGACCAACAAGTGCAGTTCCTTGCTCAATGCAACACTCTAAATTAAAGCTTTCCTGACAGATGGCTGTCCAACTGCCTCTTGAATCTTTCCACAGTGGGAGAACCCACAGCCTCCCTAGGTAATTTGTTCCATTGCCATTTCTGTGTGATTATGAGCAAAGAAAACAGTATAAAACAGTTACTCTACGTGGAGCAGGAATCCCTAATCTTTTTTGGGAAAAGCATATTTGATACTTTGATAGTGTCATGGTCACTCTCACAAAATGTTGCTACAAAGCAGCTTCCTCATTCATAAAATGACTACTATGGCCACAAAACAAGTATTCATTGTACTTTCTCTCTGGTCCCACCCTCTAGCCTTCATAGAGTACAGCTCAGAGATAGGGGTGTGAACTGCAAAATAGGAAACCTTTGTTTTGAAATCGGGAAGATTGAACCCTCGAAAGGGTAGCCCTTGCTTTGCACTTTGGCAATGTCTTAGGTTTTTTAAAGTTGAAATAGTCTTAAGAAATAAAATCAGGAGAAGCAAGGCGTTATGAGCATATGTTTGAGACATAGAAATGGATATTTTTCTCCCCAGGTGAATAAAAACTGTGTATTGTTTCCAGTGCGGTCATTCTGTGAATGCAAAGCCTAAACACATTTTCATCTTTGCACAAATGTACAATCCAGTGCTTGGATTCTAGTTGTATGATGTATTAAACCACTTAGTGCAACTTCATTAAATGCTGCTTACGCTAGTTCTACTAGCAGTTGTATTACAACGCAGTGCAATGCAACTCTATCTTTTATATTCTTTCTGAGGATTATGCTATTGTTTTTGTTTTAAATTATTTTTATAAGAAACTATAGATCATGTCCTAGCCTTTCAAAGCAAATATTCAGTTTGATTTGCTTACAGGACTGATTTATATCAGAAGTCCTTCTCTTTAGCATAGCTGAATTAAGCCAGGGGTCCCTAATTTTTTTGAAACTGTGGGCATTTCTGGGAATTGAGAGGACTGTTTTGGTAATGACCAAAAACATAGCTCCCATAGAGAATGTGGTAAGTCACATAATGGTAGCTAGATAAGCAAAAGAGGTGTGCTGAAAGAGGTAGGGAATGTGAAACAAATGGCAAGATGGAAGGCTGGTAGAGAGAGGGAAACAGCAAGGCAAAGAGGTAGAAGGGAGAGAAACTGTGTGATTAAGGCATGGGACTGGCAGAGAAATAGGTTGGGTATAGGCCAGGAGTAGAGAGAATCAACAAGAGAAAGGGGTTTATTGGAGAGAGGACAAGACTAGGGTCTAGGGAGGGAGAAGAAGAAGGTTTGGAATGGGAAGGAAGAGAAACAAGGAAAGGGATTAGAGTAAAGAAAAATAGGAAGGCTAGAGAATGGGCACAGACTGAGTCTGCAAAGGAGAAGGATGTCTGATTCTCTTCCCTACATTTTTCAAGTTTTTAAATTAAAAATAAACTTCTGAAGGAGGCAAGGAGAGCATCATAACTGGCATTTGAGCTCTCCATGATCTCCATATTGGGGACCTTCAGTTACCCCATAGCATCTAGCTATGATCCTGCAACTCAGGGTCTCAGAAATATGTCTGCTGTATAAAGCAACAGGATACAATCTTAAATTCTATGTGTTGCCCTAAGTAATTTGGCAGTACATTCTTCTGATGTCTAAGTGGAACATTGTGTGTTGCCAGCATTGAAAATATTTACAGAACTGTTAATTCAGATCTGTATACTGTATCTTAGATAATGCTGTAACATTCTGTCATTATGCATTTTAGGAGCTAAAACAAAACTTGAGTCAAGAAATAGATGAGCATCAACATGAACTTTCAGTATTACAGGATGCACATCGTCAGAAATTAGCAGAGATCAGTCGCCGGCACAGAGAAGAACTGGGTGAATATGAGGAACGAATAGAAGAACTTGAGGATCAATTACAGAAAGGTCTTGCTTGATTTTAAGGAGATTTTAAAGGAAATTTTGATACTCTTTTATGCTTAACTGTAAGGGTTGGTTTCTCAATGTCTAGTACACACACTTTTTCTGTCAAGATATCATATTAGCTCTACAGAGGAGTGGTGTCTAGTTCTGTTGAGAGATGGAAAACCTTGTGTGGTGTTCTTTAACATCCTTTGCATATTTATATTAAATTCTGGGTATAGTTAAATGTGCACAGTAGCTAATTTAAGACTGGTAAAATTAAAAGATGTACAGCCTGATTCTGTGTATGTTACCTGTTTATTTGCTTTAGATTCTTATTACACCACTTAATATCCTACATTTTCTTAAGCAGTTGACAATACATGCACACATCATAAACAGTATAAAAATAATGAAATACAACAAAAATACTTAAACATTACAAAAGACAACCATAAAGCAGAGCAGCCTCATCACCCATTACAAGTCAGGAAAAGTCTCTAAAAATATATTGTCTTCCAGATGTGTTTAGAGCTGAGCAACTGGGAGGGTGTTCCAAAGGACGGGTGTCACTTGCAGAAGGCCTGCTTACGTGCTGCTGGAAGCACTCTGTTGGTCATGGAACTATCAATAAGACCACCTGGGAAGATTTTAAGGATTGACTGAGATATATACAAGATGGTCATATATAGGGGTATCCTTATTTTAAGTTTTGTAGGACCTTGGATACTAATAAAACCTTGAGCGTAGCTTGATAGCTAAGAGGCAGCTGGAGCAATTCTTTCAACAGATACGTAATATGTGTAAAACATGGTAGTTCACTGAGCACCCTAGCTACTGTATTCTGCTCTACCTGCAGCTTTTGAACCAGGTACAGGGCCAAGTCCACATAGAGAGCCAGTGTATTGTGGTGGTTAGTGTTAGGCTGGGAACCTGGAGATCTGGGTTCTAGTTGTTATTGACCATGAAAGCTCACAGGATGACTTAGATTTTAGCTCTACAGTTCTATAATATGTATTTGATTAGCTGGAAGAAGCTGAACATTTGTACTAGATATTCAGATTCCTTCTTTGTGGTCTCTGGGCATCACACATATGGGCTCTGTGCCTATTCAGGGCCTGTTGTTGGGAAGATTTTCCTAGCTGAGCTCATTTTGGCAGGTACCCCACCCCTTCCCCTAGTATATAAGGACAGGGCTCCCACCATTTTCCTCAGTTCTCTTCCAACCAACATTTTGGATGCTTCAAGGTTTTTCTTGTTCCTAGCCTTTTTCTCCTCAGGTCTCCTTCCAGTATTGTCTATAGTTCTTCAATCCTTCTTATCGCGTCTATCTACTCTTTCCTCTCATTTTTCACCTCACTTAGTGAACAGTCCTCTTTTTAGCAAGTTACGTGTGTAGATCAAATGTGGGTTATCATATTGCACTATTTGGAAGAAAAGAAATTTGCAAAGGCTAATATGCCATGTGGCTTTTCACTAGAGCCAATTTCCTGCATCTCCAGGTAGGGTTAGGGCTCCTTCCAGAAATGAGTATTTCTGATCATCTTGGGTTGGCTTGGAAGAGTTAAATAACTGTTGTACAACTGGTAGGTGCTGTTTACACAATGGAAGTAGTGGAACAGAAAAGAGTTGGCAGAGGAGTGGCACCCCATTACATTCTGCCCCAAGATGCCTGTAGATTTCTGTGGAACTAGGCTTTCTGATTCATAATGCAGAGAAGAACCAGAATAAGTGTTCATTTATACTTTATTTATTTATTAATTAAAACATTTTTATGCCGCCCCATTCGCCGAAGCCTCGGGGCGGCTTACAACTTCAGTCTGTGCATGTAGAACAGTCTTGATTTAAGTCTCTGATTTTACAGTTGGTTTTTTCATTGGTATATTTGCTATTTTCCGCATCATCAGTTCTTATAAATACCTTGTTTTCTGCAGTGGATATAAATTATTGTTGGTATAAAACCATTAATTTTTTCTGTGATAATTGTAAGAAATGTGAGAAAATGCCATATTTCTGAATACTATTACAAATAGATGTTTTTCTGCTTTATAGTTGGCGTAGCTGTTGAACTTTCTTCTGAACATGACCAGAACCGTCTCTCTGAATCTACAGCACCACACTTGATGGACTTGCAGGATAAAATGAAAAACCTAAGTCAACAATTGTCTTTAGCAGAAGATGAGAAAAATCATCTCTTGCAAGAACTTGAATTAGTAAAAATGGAGAAAAGTCAACTAAGACAGGAATATGAAAAACTAAAATCCGAATCTAGTAAACCTCAGCTATCTTTACTTGAAGAACAGGTTGATTTGAACAACCAAGTAGAAGTCCCTAAGTATGCGGAAGAATTGCTCAGACTACAGCAGGCGCTACTTGGTATGAAGTCACTGGTATTTTGCTGTGTCTGTTTTTCATTTGTAAAGACAGTTTCAGAAAAAAATGTGGGATTGGGATTCAAACAGGCATATGTGCAGTGCTCCTTTTCAGTTGTATGAAAAATAATCTGTCATTCCGAATGTTTGGCAATCTTTCCTCCAGCACTCGCCTCTCCTGGCATATCGTGCTAAAGGTGTCCTTAGGGGTGGGGGGGAGGCTGTTGCCAAACAGAGAGAAACTGAAGAATCTCCAAGATGTACACTGCACCATGATTGCTGGGCTAAGTATATGAAAATGAGCACTTCTAGGAACCCTCATGTTTTTAGAAAAATGGTTTGCTCCTGCTGAATGTTTTCTAAGAACAATAGCACCAACCTAGCTTTCTGCTACTGTCATGCTGTTGAAAAATGGTTTAGTTCATTTTAGTGTCGGTTTTTAGCTCAGTTTTTAATTGCAGCCTCTATAGTGATGACATACATTTTAAAAGTGATAACATAATGTACTCTTTTAGTATCATCAGTAATTTTTGCCTGTAGTGTGCTAATTTTAAGAATGTATTCTTGAAATTTCAGCCTTAGGTACATGTTGCTGTGTTCTTGCATTTGAAAATTTAAATTCACTACTTAACCTAATCCTCTAACTTAAGAAAAAATATTTATTTTCCCATTGCTTTACAGATGCAGAAAATGAAATATTAAGACTGAAACGATCAGATCAGGTAATTAGATTACTGAACATAAAGAATGAATGTTCCCTATTCCCTCCCCAACAACCTCCTGTGCAACCCTAAATCTCTTCTACAGCAGATTTGGGTTGTGGGTGTGGGGCTGCAGGCAGGAGCAGAAGATACAGAAGAAGTGCTTACATGCTCACATGACATTGGCTCACATGACTTGGGTCCCATTAAGTGCCCTCAGGCCATACTAAAATAGTAGGGACAAATGCCAAGGAAAAGGGAACCAAATGAACAGTTACAAGATGGGAGATAGTTGGCTCAACAATACTACAAATATGAAGGATCTGGAATTGTTGTAAATCATGGGTTGAATATGAATCACTTCAAGAAAGATGCAGACAAACTAGAAAAAGTTCAGAGGAGGGCAACAAAGGTGACCAGGGAACTGGAAACAGCCATGTGAGGAGAAATTGAAAGAGCTGGGCATGTTTAGCTTTGACAAGAGAAGACTGAGGGGAGATACGATAGCAATTTTCAAAGACTTGAAAGGCTGTCACTCAGAAGACCAGGATCTCTTTTCAGTCATCTCAGACTGCAGAACATGGAATGACAGGCTTAAGTTACAGGAAGCTAGATTTCAGCTAGATAGCAGGAAAAACTTCCTGATGGCTAGAGCAGTATGGCAATGAAATCAATTACTTAAGGAGGTTGTAGGGATTCCCACACTGGAAGCACTCAAGAGGCAGTTGGACAGCCACATGTCAGGGATACTTTAACTTGTGGTCCTGCATTGAGCAGAGAATTGGCTTGATGAACTTATACGCTCCTTTCAAATCTACTGCTCTATGATTTAGAATGGCCATATTCTGTGGAAATAGCAACTTAGTATACATATTTTCTCCCACCTTCCCTAATCAGTGTCAGTGTCTGCTTAAGAAAGGATTTCTGCAGATGTGCTACAATAGTCTCATGCTTTTCCATAAGTTCAGAATGTGTTTGAAGTACACAAAGTTATGCATAATTTGCCGATGCTTTCGTGCCTTGCAATTTATGAGAGTGCTTTATACGTTATGAAACTTGTGCGCACACATGGAGTTATTTCCTAGGATTCAGTTAAAATTGGATATGGAGGACAGCTTTGATGCCTACTCTTCAAATTTGTTTTTTAGCATTTCCATTGTGTTTAATTATACCCTTTTATGTAGTTTGGGATAATTTCTTGTCCTCACATATCAGTTGAAGTCTTTTTGTTTTTGTGTCAGAGTGATACTTATGAATATACTCAAATTGATTTTATCCTATTAAATTTAGGGTCTTTTTTCTGTCTAAATTAAGGAAGGAGTTCAGAAAGAAGTGACAAGTTTACAATCAAATTGTGAGAGTAGTACACATGTATCTGCTGAAGGACAGAACCTGGAGTTAAATATGTTAAGAGAAGAATTGGAAAGGAAACAACATGAATTCAATGAAACCCTTGCTGAAAAAGAAACTCTGGTAGCAGAACTGGAAGAACTGGACAAGCAAAACCAAGAAGCTACCCAGGTTATACATACATAGTTAATTAAATGGGAGAAATGGTGTGTGAACCCCAAATGCATATGTTGAAGTGTATGAATGTTCATTAGCTGTACTTAAATCTAAAATTACATCAACTATTTTGCTTTGTTGGTCAATTAGTTTTTGTTTGTTTTAGAAGACAAACACAATTCTTCAGAGTTCTTGTTTAAGGACTATTTTTTTTAAGTGTTAACATTAATTTCTTTCTGACCTTACAGAAATTTGTTTTGTGGTTTTTAATGTTTGTTTCATCTCACACAGATTATTTCTAGATTCATAAAAAACTTTTATTCAAATAACTTTTTGACCCAGAGTGAGAATTTTTTATAACTTACAATTCTTTACACAAATTTTCCAGGCCACCTTAAAAATAAGTTTCACAAAATTATCCAGAATTCATTATGATATTGCTTTGTGTGCTACTCTTAATGTAACCTTCTTTTTTTCCTTACAGCTCCAAATTCTTGATTCTTTTAAATTTGCTTTTCACATTGCCTTTCACAGTACAATATTCTCTATATCTTTGAGGGAAGTAAATTAGCAATTTCTCAGTAGGCTTCCTCAGCAATTCCACAAAAGATAACTCAGCGCTCAAAATCTAGGGTTAGAAGTTGAGGTCAAAGATAACTGATATTTCTTTCCTTGGTTCTTTTAAATGTTCAGGACAGGCTCCTATAATGAGTTGGTAGGCATTGTAACACAGGAGGCAGGAAGTGCTAAAATGCAGTTTGCCACTCATCTACTAGCCAAGGAGATAAATGGTTCTAACCACAGAGAATTAGTAAATCTATTACTATCTAGCTAAGCAAAAGGATTGTGGATCCTTTTTTGAATGGTTTACATTTATATAATTAAATGTTGTTTGACATGCTTAATACAGCAAGGTCATAGCTAGAGTGTTCTAAAATCATATAATAAAATTTATTCACTTTTCTAAATGATTTACATTTCTAACTGCTAATGAATTATAAATTAGTAGGATTTCTTAACAGTGTTAATATTTGTTTCAATTTTAGCATATGATCCTATTAAAAGAACAGCTGGCAAAACAAAATGCAGAAGCTACCAATGCTATCACCCAGCTAAAACTGGACATTGATTCTGAAAGAAGAAAAACATCTAAGCTAGAAGCTGAGAAGCTGGAATTGAGCAAGGAGTTAGAAGGCCAGACAGAAAAATTGAATCAGAGTAAATATACATGTAATGACTTGACTATGGCTAACCAACACTTGGAGAACAAAATGAAAGAGTTAAAAGAACAGCTGACATCATCCCAGCAGTGTAGTGCTAGTAAGCAGGAATTAGTAGAATTAAAGGAAAAGCTAACACAAAGAGAAGAAGAACTTTCTGTACTCCAAAATGAGCTAACAAAATTAAATCAGGAAAAAGAAGTAGAAATTTCAAAGCTGAATAAACAAATTTCACAAAATAAACTAATAAATACAGGCTTGGAGAAATCAATTTTGGATCTTCAGGTAGAAAAGGAAAAGCTGCATACAGCATATGAAGAACTTAAACAGCAGTTGCAAGAAGCAAATAATGAAAATAGCACAATTGTTTTTGAAAAAGATACTATGCTGGAAGCTTTGAAAATAGAAAAAGTGCGATTAGAAAGTGAACTGTGCCAGGCTGAAAGCCGATTGTTGGAACAAGCTCAAAAATATGAACAAACCATCAGTGAGCTGTCAAATGCACGTAACATGGATGCCACTGCATTGCAGTTTGAACATGAACGTTTAGTTAAACTTAATCAGGAGAGAGACTTTGAGATAGCAGAACTCAAGAGGAACATTGAACAGATGGAAAGTGACCATGAGGAAACTAAAGAGATGCTAACAACTAGCTTAGCAGGGCAAAAGCAACTAACAGAGCTCATAAAAGAGCGAGAAGTGTTTGTGGAAAAATTTAAAACCAGGGCTTCCGAACTGGAGCAGCAACATGAAAATTATATTAAGGACTCCAAAAGGTTTGAACTTTTAAAACAAAATTTAGAAGAAAAAGAGAAAAGTCTTTCAGGTATGAAAGAAGAGAACAATCACTTGAAAGAAGAAATTGAACGGTTAAAAGACCAGCAAAGTAGATCGCCCCCTATGGCTGAGCCCAAAACTCTAGATATCATCACTGAACTTGAAGCAGAAATAACACAATTAACAATACTGAAAAATAATCTTGAAGAAGAGGTGAAGCTTAACAAAAAGACACTTGAAGATCAGAATCAGAAAATGACCCAACTTCAGCAAGTCCTACAGGAGTATAAAAAGGAGAGTGAGGATTTCAAGTTGCAATGCGAACAGTTGACTATTGCACACCAGCAGGTATGCTTGGAGAAGGATAAGGAAATCAAAAGGCTACACAGAGCAGTAGAACAAATTAAAACCCAGTTACACAATCAAACAACGGTAATTCAACCAGATTCTTCTGATCTTTTTCAAGAAACTAAGGTCCAAACACTTAATGGTGAAAATGGAAATGAGAAGCATGATTTATCCAAAGCTGAAATTGAAAGGTTGGTAAAAGGTATTAAAGAAAGAGAAATGGAGATCAAGCTTCTAAATGAAAAGAATATCTTGCTAAGTAAACAAATCGATCAGTTATCCAAAGATGAAGTTGGAAAACTGACACAGATCATCCAAGAGAAAAACTTAGAGATACAAGCTCTTCATGCAAGGGTTTCCTCTCCATCTTACAGGCAGGATGTTCTCTACCTTCAGCAACAAGTACAAGCCTATGCCATGGAAAGAGAGCAAGTGTTGGCAGTTCTTAGTGAGAAGACAAAAGAGAACAGTCAATTAAAAACAGATTATCACAAGATGATAGATATTGTAGCAGCCAATGAAGCAGCTCTAAAGAAACTGCAGGAAGAAAACCAAAAACTTTCCAGTGAATTTGAAAGTAGCAGTCAAGATATGTCCAGAGAAACAATTAAAAACTTGTCCCGTATCATTCGAGAGAAGGATATTGAAATCGATGCTTTAAGTCAAAAATGCAACACTTTATTGACTGTCCTCCAGACATCCAGCATGGGTGCAGGCAATGAATTAGGGGGGGTTAATAGCAACCAGTTTGAGGAGCTTTTGCAGGAGCGTGACAAACTGAAACAGCAAGTGAAGAAAATGGAAGAGTGGAAGAAACAAGTAATGACCACTGTCCAGAATATGAAACATGAATCTGCTCATCTACAAGAAGAACTGCAGAAGCTTCAGGCACAGATTTTTGCTGATAGTGAAAACAGTTCTCAGTTGCAGATCCAGTATAATGGCTTAATCCATAGCTATGAACAAAATGAGAGAAAGCTGAAAACATTTAGTCAAGAATTAGCACAAATTCAGCATAGCATAGGTGAACTTGATAACACCAGGGATATTATTCTGGGCAAACTTGATATGATAACACCACCTGTGCCAATGAGCTCTTCTAATGGTGGACAGTCATTAGACATTCCTTGCAGTACTGTTTCCCAGATGTTCCCTAGTGACTCCAAACCACTAAATGAAGAACTGGAGCGCATGAAGAAAACATTGCAAGAGAAAGATGCAACTATCCAAACTCTGCAAGAAAATAATCAGAGGCTGTCTGATTCTGTGGTTGCATCATCTGCAATGGAAAGAAAAGGTCAAAAGGAGTCTCATTTGGAGATAAAACATTTGAAAGAGAAGTGTGATGTCTTGCAGAAGTCACTCAGAGAAAAAGACCTACTAATAAAATCAAAAAGCGACCAGTTGCTTTCTGTAAGTGAAAGCCTTAGCAATAAAGAAAATGAAAATGAACTGTTGAAGCAAGGTGTAACTAATCTGAAGGAAAGAATTCTTATTTTGGAAATGGACATCCATAAGTTGAAAGAAGAAAATGACAAAATAGTGGCAAGATGCCAGGAAAAAGAAACAGAATTCCGAGCTTTACAGGAGACTAACATGCAGTTTTCAATGATGTTGAGAGAGAAGGAATTTGAATCTCATTCAATGAAGGAGAAGGCCCTTACATTTGAAAAATTACTGAAAGAGAGAGAACAGGTATGTGATGAGTTGAATTCTTGGTTTTGTTTAGAGGGGGAAAAACGGTGTGATTGTCATTACACTATGCAATTGTGTGTTAGCAATAGGGGTATATGGTTATGCCAGCCTCAGTAGCACATGTACAGTCTTGTGCATTTGCACAATGTGCCAGAAGTTGACTTTATTTTTTAAAAAATGCAAACATAATCATAAGGGCTCTTGTGGTGATCTGATGGAAGGGGAGGGGATGTTCCCTCATGAGCCACTAATCCCTAATCCCAGCAGGCCAATTACAGAAAGGGTGCATAGGGAAAGTAATGAGGATTTCTTCCATGAGGGTCTCTGGGATACATGCCAAGAGCAGCCAGAAGAATTGAGAGGGACAGAGGAAGAGACAGCTCTTTGCAAGGCACTGAGTGGGCAATTGTGTGTTGAGAGTACTGGAAATTCCTTCCACCCACCCTCTGTGGCTTATTCTCAGTGTGACTTAGTATGATGTCCAAAATCACCCATTGTATTCAGTGGGTCCAATTGTAAATAAGTGCACACAGATTTGCCAGCCTTCATTTATTTCTCACATTTATGTATGCCCTTCATCTAAGAAGGAAAAGGTATGTAGTTGAGTTTGCCACACTTCATCTTGATGAGAAACTTAAACTCATGCAACGTAACCCACACTGAATATAGGTTGAGAGTAGGCTGTCCTTGAACTCTGGCTTCTGGTTGAAACATGGGTTATCTTGTCTGAAACCAGCTGCATTAATCACACTTTGGTTTCTTAATCACAAACAACCAATGATTTGCTGTTAAGGTGTGAACTGTGAGTTGTTTGAGGTGATCAAATGATGGTTTGTTAACACAGCTGCATTGGACAACATAACCCATGATTCAGAAAAAACCTGGCTCGGTGACAACCTATATTCAGCCTTTCAGCATGGGCTGTTGTGTTTTCTGAACCAACTAGCTCAGGTCAGTCAGTGATCTTTTTGACTGAGCAAAGATTTCGACCCTGGTTCCCCTGTTCAAGTTTGACAAAAGAATAGGTTTTTCATTCAAATCCAAAACATACTAACTTGAACTGAGTTGTATTGAATTCAGTAGTGTTTATATCCAAGTGAATTTGCACAGCTGGAGAATTAAGTCTTTTTCTGAGAACCTGTAAAGAGCATATGTATTCTCTAGGAATGTTACAGTATTGATATAAGAGTAATATTTATTTAGGCCACTGAAATTGCCAGGTAGTGGTAAATAGAAGTGAACATATTTATTCTCGTTGCTGGTATTTATATCAATCTGAATTCTATTCCACTTCTGCACTGTCATCAGATCATAGTTAACCTGCCTCTCAAGCCTGCTGTAATGCAGCCTTGTGATTAAGCACCAACGTGGTAGCAATAGGGAACAAAAGAATTATATGTTGGCAAGTGCACCCAGCATAGAAAACTTCACACCTAGTGTAGTCATGGATTGTGATGCTACAGGAAGGACAGAGCTCCCTCCCACACCAGCAGACCGAGTCCATATATTGTGGGGCTTTGATACAAGGCTGTTTTAATACCTGACAATCCTCTCTAGCTACCTTTGCCTCAATATGTTTTTAGGTAATAAAGTAGAACCTGTGTTTAGCCTGCTATGTGTGAATACTTTTCATATAGGAGATGAGGCGATATGAATTGGTTGTTCAGTATATTATGGCTTGTGGTTTTCCATTTGTCCTATAGTCTTTGATCTTGTATGTAATCTCCCTAATTAATCCACATGACATAGTTTATAAGCATTCAAAGAAAAATGTAGTGCCATTCACTTGGCAAGAAAGAAATAGCTACTGAAACTTTCGGAGCCTTCCTTTTACTTATGAGAGGGCAACACTGTACACATGCATAAAATCTCTTTATTTTCATTTTTGAAAGGGAAAGGCAGGAGAACTAAACCAGCTGTTAAATGAAGCCAAATCAATGCAAGAAAAGGCTGTTGCTTTTCAGCAAGAGAGAGACCAAGTTATGTTGGCACTCAAGCAAAAACAAATGGAAACCAGTGCCCTACAGAATGAGGTATGAGATGAAATGAGTGAGTGAAAGAACATGGGTAGATGAGGGTGAAGTGAGAAGAGCTGAGGAAATTTATTTATTTATTTATTTAAAACATTTTTATGCCGCCCCCATCGCAACAAAGCCTCGGGGTGGCTCACAACAAGAACAAAATATACAAATATAACAAATTATACAATAAAAATATTAAAACCCGGTGCATCTCGGCTTAAAAGATTTAAAGTCCTATAAATACCAATAACAGTTAAAATAAGTTTTAAATAAAAAGGTCTTAGCCTGGCGCCAAAAAACAGATAACGACGGCGCCAGGCGGACCTCTCTGGGGAGCGCATTCCATAGATGGGGCACCACCACAGAGAAAGCCCACCTCCGGGTACTCGCCCTCCTAATATTCACAGAAGGTTCCCGGAGAAGGGCATCTGTTGCTTATCTCAAGGGGCGGGAGGGCATATATGGACGCAAGTGTTCCTTTAGATACCCAGGACCTAGGCCGTTGAGGACTTTATAGGTCATAACCAACACCTTGAATTGGGTCCGGACTTCAATCGGGAGCCAGTGGAGCTGACGGAGAACTGGGGTTATATGAGAACAACGCCCAGTCCCCGTCAGCAACCTGGCAGCTCTGTTCTGCACCAATTGAAGTATCCGGACCGTCTTCAAGGGTAGCCCCATGTAGAGCGCGTTACAGAAATCTAATAGGGAAGTTACCAATGCGTGTGTGACTGTCGCCAGGCAGTCGTTCTCCAGGAAGGGACGCAGCTGATGGATCAGCCAAAGCTGAAGGAAAGTGCTCCTCGCCACCGCTGTCACCTGAGCTTCTAAAGACAGCTCAGGGTTGAGGAGCACTCCTAAGTATCCTTCTTTATATGCAGTTGCAGCATTTGCGTGATAAGGAGCAGCGGCTAAGTCAAGAATTGGAGAGATTACGCAATCACCTTTTGGAAAGGGAAGACACTTCCACACGTGAAGCTTTAGCAGCTGAGGATCGGGAAACTAAGCTTAAAAAGAAAGTCCAGTTTTTGGAAGAAAAGCTACAGTCTTCTTCAACAGCAGTGGAAAATGCAAGGTGAATACTTGTTTACTTTAGTATTGGCAATATGCTAGTAGTTTTGTGGGAGAATCAGTTTAAATTACATTAATTGTGTTCCTATCCATATATCTTATTGCCACAGGAGTTTTTTTTCTTTGCCATCTTTAATTCCAGATTGAAACCTGTATTGAAAATACACATTTCTGCTAATTTAAGTCATTTTAATTTATCAACACACAAAATCTAAGTCTCTAGAAAATGAAAGGCAAATACTTGTTTACAGTATACAAGTAGAATTGGTTCCAGAATAGAATTATTGGGTTTTCTAACAGTAGTTTTCTCTGCTAGGGAGTTCATTAGCTCTTTTTTAAACATAAAATAGTTGAAACTGTCTTTCCTGAAAGAATATCTACAGAAGCTGTTTTCATGTTACATTTTGAGTTCATAGCTTTAACTATCAGAGTTCAAAGATACAGGGCCTTCAAAAGTGAGTATTTTAGAACCTGGCTGATTGATTTTATATATTTTACTTGAAGTCATCAGGCTAGTATGCAGGTGGAATCCTTGCAAGAACAGTTGGACCTTGTTACTAAGCAAAGAGACGAAACTGTGCTTCAGCTAACCATTTCTCAAGACCAAGTGAAACAGTATGCTTTGTCACTGACCAACCTGCAGATGGTGCTAGAGCAATTTCAAAGGGGTAAGTTAACTCTCACTTGTTATGTGAAGCTTGCCATGGAAATCTTTTATCTCAAGACATAACAGTATTGTGGTAATTAAATCTTTCCAATGAGCTGTTTTCTGAAATATCTTATTTAGATAACTGAAGTCCCTTTATGAACAGCTGATAAGTGAAGTGAATCTATTTTATTTTTAGAAGAGAAAGCCATGTATTCAGCTGAGCTACAGAAACACCAAAGGCATTCTGCGGAATGGAAAAATAAAGCAGAGCAACTAGAAAATAAGGTGGTTTCATTGAAGGTAAGTTGAGGTGGTTCTATAATGCACCCTTATTTTTTATGGCAAACAACCAGAGTAATGATTAAATGTTGGGGTAGAGTGGAATTTGATTTGGGCAAAAGAGACTGAGGTGGTTGGCATGACATGACAGCTCATCATAGGTTGCAATTTCATAATAGCTGTCACCATGTGCTGCACTGGATGTTCTTAGCAGAAAGGTAAGAATAAAAAGTAAAGAAAAGGACTTAGGAGAAAGTTGATGAATACTTAATTATGCTAATGAATATTTTGTTTCAGAGGCTATGTATAAATTTTGAACTAACTTTTTTTTGTTGTTCATTTACCTGAAACAGTAGAGTTTTTAAGCCAAGTCTTGCTTTTTGGTAGCTATATTATCACAGCAAACAGATGCCATAATCTCCTCCCTCATCTTGCAGGAAAAGTTAGAGGAAGCAAATGCAGCACTAGATTCTGCATCAAGACTAACAGAACAGCTGGATCTTAAAGAAGAGCAAATTGAGGAGCTCAAGAGGCAAGGTAACAGGATTGTTTTAAAAAATACAAACAAATAGAGGTTCCTTTTAAACATAGGTATTTAATTGAATTAAACCTGTTTATTTTAGTGACCAACTGATACGTTGAATAGGATGTTAGAAAATAAAATGCTATCTCCAGCATTATGTCACTTCTATGATGAGAGGTTCCCTTCCCCTCCTCCCCCTGCATGCCCCTCAAATATGCCTCAGAGGAGCACATAGCTACATGGGAGAGGGAAAACTCAGTCCAACAGTGGAAGGACATAATTAGATATAATATGAAATATTCTCCCTCCTGGTTTCTTAACATTTCCCTGGACAGCATCTGTTTTTTATTATAGAACTGTAGAAGCAGCTCAATTGTTAAGGTGAATGTATTTCTCCAGCACCATATCATAACTCATGGACATTATGCATAAAACCAAGGCATTTTTTTCTCTACATAGGAAAGTTGGGAAGGGCCAATCAACCTTTTCAGAGATATCATCTAATCAAATTTCAGAAATTCATCATGAATCCTGGCTGTGTCAAAGCAGTTAAAAAATTGCAGTCAAGGTCAGATGTCCCATCTTGCAACCATTTTTATGCCCACCCAGAATATAATTTACATGTTTTCCATTGGGACTGCTTGAATTGATTATGTCAACATTCAAGAATATTGCAATGATGTGCCTTTAGCTAAGTTTGTGATGATCCATTTGGTTGGATCCAAGTTTCCACCCATGCAATACAGTTTATCTGGCCCTTCTGTCCCACTGCAGCCCTCTGTGTCTCCCTGTGAGGCATGAAAAGGGACTTAGAGAGCTGCAGAGACAGGGGGAATCAGTTAAATAGGGTGTACCTTGCACAAAATGGAGTGCCTTTCTGTTCAGACAGTGCCTTTTGTATCCACTAAAGTAATATAGTCCTCTTGTTAGTAGTTTTCAAAGTTCCTATTTTTAAATTTGCCATTTAACTAAGTGCAGGTGGTACAACTCATGTTTGTCTGGAAGGCTGAATCATCCCTTATGGAACTTCCCAGTATATTACAGAACAAGCATGCAGGAGCAAGTTGTATTTGTAGAGGAGGGAAAGTGAACTGGCGTGGTGGCACATTTGCCCACAGCATGCTGCCATGTCTCTCTGTGTGTACATTGGTTTTGTTATCTCTGCTGCATTCACTTGATGGCACACAGTCTTGAATGAAACTGTGGCATATAATTCACTGTTGTAATAAACCTCTCAGGCTCAGTTTTAGCCCCCACCACAAAGTGAACAACAATATGTCTAGTAGCCACTTTAAACTATTATGCAAATTGTGGAGACAATAGAAATCAGGAGAAACATAGAAGGTGTAGTAAAATGTTCTGCCTTGAAGATTATTTAAATAATACACCCAGTTCCCCAGTTACGAATGTCCAAGTGAAGAACAACCCCTGCTTACGAACAAGCTAACCCGAAAGTCCCGCCTTGTCCTTGAGTGGCAAGCAGGCACGCATGGGTGGTAAGCACTGTGCCAGGCAGCAAGGAGAAGGAAAGGAGGAATGGGAAAGGAAAGAAGGAAGGAGGTAAAGGGAAGGAAGAGGGCAAGAGAAAAGAGTGGCACCAGCAAGCCGCAAACTTGGAACTAGAAAGCAATTCCATTCTGCACCCTGACTTTCCAGCACCAGGTCCTTTCTCTCCAACACCAGTCCCATTTCCATTGTCTTTCAGTTAATGTTAGGCTTAATCTTAGCTTAAGGGTTAACCTTTAATAATCTTTTTACAATTTTTTCTATCTAAACTGTTTTAAGAATTGTACTTTGTCTACACATACATACAGATGCTCGCTCGCTCTCTCTTCAGGACCTGTAGTCACTTTATTCTTTCTGTATTATCATTATTAAAATGCTGTACTGTGTTTAAGATGTTTTAGAGTATATGGAAGTGTTTCTTGAGAGTTTTATATGCTTTTTATATATGTGATCCATCTTACATACACATTCAGCTTCTCAGGAACTGAGAACTTGGGAACTGGTTATACTTATAAAGGGTTTTCCATACCTTAAATCATAGTATAATTTCTAAGTATTTTAGAGTCACAGTGAAGTGAAAATTGTTCCTTTCCAGTCCTGAGAAGAATCCCGTAAGTAGATAAAATTTGTTTGACTTTTTAAAAGAAAATTAAAGTGAAAATGTGAGGCACAGATGCACCAATGGGCATGGGAATTTTAAGTTAACATCCTGAGCACCTGTGCTATATAAGGAGTGAATACTACAAGGGGAAGACCTCCAGATGTATTGAGGTGCAAGTCCAGGTGTCATCTCAGATGTTTGCCATTGCTAGTTGGGGCCTATGGGAGGTGCAGTCAAATACAGCTGAAGGGTGGCAGTTTGCCTTCCGTGTCGTGGATGGTATGCTTGCTTATAACATAGCCTCCTTTTTGGATTAAACACTCCAAAAGGTTGATTAAAAGCTGTTGTAATATATTTTATTTAATACGCAGTTTGGCCAGACAGCAGAAAGATTTGCCAGGAGAAACATAAAAAACCCCCACAGTGCAAAGATAATAGTTTTTGTTATGTGAAAGAACTTAAATTAAATATACAAAGAACATCTATGCGGGCTGCTTTACTTTTCATAAGCCAATTTGAGATTAATGATCTCTTTGCAGTACTGTCCAAGCATATAAATAGGTTTTCTATTTTGGTGAAACATAATTAAGGTTCTTTTTACAGGGATATTATTTATAACATAGCTATGCCTTAATGGTCCTTTCTGATAGTGGACATTTGGTATGATGTTGAGTGAAAAATTGGCAGTATCAGCTAGTCTAAGCATAATGACAAACTCCACAAACCCCTCCTCATGCAAGTTTATTATTAGCCTTCATGTTAACCCTTGATTCTTATATGTTAGGGAGAGTTCTTTGGACTGTTGTTGGACTAAAACCCAGATTTTCCAAGGCAATCCAACATTCTAACCACTACACCCTAACATGAAAGTATCAAAGTTCAGTAAGTTCATTGGAGACACAGTAATGGATATAAGTGATGCAGGTTCTACAGAGTTTTCCAGTATGTTTAGATTGGGAGTTGGGGGCATTATCAGATTTATTTTAGTTTCAATTTTTAGCCTACAGATGGCTCAAAGCTGTTTACAACAAAGCCCTATCACAATACTCCAGATACATCTTGTTCTTTAAATTTGTAGATGACTATCTCAGCCCATATCTGAGGTTGGAATTTTGTCAGGAACAAAGGCATCAGGAAAGCAGTGTAGCTATTTTCTTATCTCCTGCAGCAGAGTCCCAGCAACATTGTTTGGCTGTTTACTGTGCCTTTTAAGGGAGGGACACTTTTTCATTTTTGAAAAACTGCTAAAATTCTGTTAGAATTTTGCTAACATTCTAGTTAGAAAAGGACATTTAAAGCAGCTTACACTCAATTGAAAACATTACTTAATATGTAGGGTTCTCTTGCTATGATTGTAAAGGAAAACGAGGGACTACACCTTCTCTTCCAGTAGATACTTCTGGAGCAACTGTCACCATTAGATAGGAAAACAGTGTTTTGGGGTCACGGAGGCAGGGGGATGTAAAGAGATTTGGCCACAGTGGATCAGCAGCCACTGCACAAGAATCTATGATGTTTATGACTGGAATTAATACATTCCAGCAGTGTGTTGGCATTCTGTCCTTTCTTAGGATAATACCATGCAAAGCACGCACAGCATTCTGCAGCCAGGGACATTTGATGTGTTACATGTTCATACTTCTTTTTACTTCTTGAATTCTCTGTTGGAATTGGCAGACACAACTTCTTTTAAATTTACATAGCCTTGTAATCAGACTGTGTAACTATGTTAGGGTTCGCAAGTGGGTCAGTTGGCAGGTCAACTATTCAGTGAGACCACAATGTTGGTGGCAGTGTACCAAATTTCACTGTGGCATAATTTGCTAGTGAATGCAGGTGTAAGGATCCTTGCTAATAAATTACACCATAATGAAATTAAGTAAGTTGTTGGCCTTGCAACAGTTTGGGGGAAATGTAGCTGCATAGCAAAATTGCTCCTGTAGGTCACTAGCTATACCTGCAGCCATTTCCATCTCCAAACAGGAACTCAAGGCATTATCCATGACAAAGGATACTGCCTCAATAAGTGGCATCATATAAGGCAGCATATATCCATGCATAGTTCCATCATGCTTGCTATAAGAATCAGGTAAACCTTCCATGTTATGTAGTTGTCTACTCTGTAAAGCTCATGTGAAGAATTGCTCTAAAAATGTAGTGACTACTGGAAGAACTGAAGGTACTGATTGAACGCAGGGGCATCATGTCCTTAGAGCCAGCAGGACATTAAATTATGAAGAGTTAGAGGAAAACCCCCCCCCTTTTTTTTTGTTCTAATAAAATTAATGCTTTAAGCATACTTGACCATTATTTGGCCAGGCAATGAATAACAGCAAATGTCAAGCTGTTCCTCTAAACTCATATAGTGGAAGCAGTCCATGTTCATGCTAGGATCACTAGGCTGTTTGACACTATATTAATTAATTAATTACTACTGAGTTATTCATTTAGGATGCAAGCCAATGCATTTTTTGACAGAAAGAAACCCTTCAACTCTCAGCATTCCCCAGCCACCTGTGCTGGGAGATGCTGAGAGTTGTAGGACATCTTTCTGTCTAAAAATGGATTGCGTTGCACCCTTAAATTATCAGAATCTGAGATAGTTTGATAGTGGGCAGATTGTACCTCTTAGTAAGCTTCAAACCCTACTGGAATGAGTTAATATACATTTAGGATTCAAAAGTCTCAGAAGTATCATTTTAGAATAATAGAATATTAGAGTTGTTCCTGCCTCCTGCTTAATACAGGACTGCCAGTTAAAGCGTCCCTGACAGATGGCTCTCCGACTGCCTTTTGAATGCCTCCAGTGTGGAAGAGCCCACATCCCTTTTAGGTAATTGGTTCCATTGCTGTACTGCTCTAACAGTCTGGAGGTTTTCCTGCTGTCTAGCCCGAATCTGGTTTCCT